GCAACTATAACGAAAAGGGGGGAAATTTGGGTGGGTGAAGTACCTGATATGGAGCGAAACAAGGTACAGTTGTACCTTGGTTTGTGAACGCCTTGCGATTTGAATGTTGTGGCTCCCAAACACCGCAAACCCAGAAGTGAATGTTCCTGTTTGCGAACGTTTTTGGAAGCTGAACGTCTGACGCAGCTTCTGATTGAGTACCAGGAAGCTCCTGCAGCCAACCTTGGTTTCCGAACCGTTTCGGGAATCAAACGGACTCCCGGAACAGATTAAGTTCGACAACCAAGGTACCGCTGTATATCTAGAATGCCTCAGAGCGCTGGGTTGGGAAGTCTGTAAATACTGTATGATGGGAAAAAATGCGATGTATAAATTGGATATTGGAAAATGCATAAAAAATAAATGAATGAATGGCAATGCCCATCAAAAAAGAAAAAAGGGGGGAAAGTATGGCCCTCTAAGATGTGACTTGACTACATCTCCTGCCTTCTCTGACCAGCACTGATGGGAGATGGAGTCCAACAAAATCTGGAAGGCACCATCCGGGTTACTCATAGCACAGGGATGGGGAACCATTACCCAGGTCCTTGGCTGTGTTGCCCAGGGCTGATGCGAGCCTGGCAACACCTGAGAGGACCCCACAGCTCCCAGCCCCCCTGGATTACATGGTCGTCTGCATGGCGTCTCTCCCAAGGCATTTGGCAATGCTCCTGAGCTTTTACAAGGCTCCCTCGGGCGGCGGGGGCGGCTCCGACCGCTGCTTCTGCTCCTCCTCTTCCTGCAGCCGCAGCATGTTCAAGGCTTCCCGCATGTGGATCTTCTGGTGCTTGACCAGGACGGTGCGGTGGGTGAACCGTTTGCCGCAGGTGGCGCACTGGTGCGGCCTCTCGCCCGTGTGGACCTTCTGGTGCCGGATGTGGACGGCGCGGTCGGAAAAGCACTTGCCGCACGTGGCGCACTTGAAGGGCTTCTCGCCCGTGTGGGTCCTCTGGTGGACCATGAGGATCTGCCATTGGCTGAAGCTCTTCCCGCACTCGGCGCACGTGTAGGGCCTCTCCCCGGTGTGGACGCGGTGGTGCTTGACCAGCTGCGAGGACGTGTTGAAGGACTTGTCGCAGTCGGGGCACTTGAAGGGCTTCTCGCCCGTGTGCGAGCCCTCGTGCTTCTTGAGGCTGGAGCCGCGGCTGAAGCCCTCGCCGCACTGAGCGCACTTGAACGGCTTCTCCCGGACGTGCACCTTCTGGTGGTTGTGGAGCTGCGACTTCTGGGCGAAGCTCTTGCCGCACTCGGAGCAGCCGAACAGCTCCTTCTCGATGTGGACGCGGTAGTGGCGCGTCAGCACCGAGCTGACGGTGAAGCTCTTCCCGCACTGGTCGCAGGTGTAGGGCCTCTCGCCCGTGTGCGTCCTCTCGTGCGCCACCAGCGTCGACTTGAAGCTGAAGCACTTCCCGCAGCTCTGGCACATGAACGGCTTCTCGCCCGTGTGCGTCCGCTGGTGCGCCGCCAGCACGGTGCTCCGGCTGAAGGTCTTCCCGCACACGCCGCACGTCTTCTTCCCTCGACTGCGCCGCCGCCTCTTGACGACGACCGCTTGGCTTTGGCCTCCTCCGTCCCCGACGCAAGGGGCGCTCTCGGACGCCCTCTGCTCTTGGCGTTTCTCCTTGCTCCTTTGCGGGCCGTCGTCGCCGTGACTCACGGAAGCTTCGCCATCCTCTTGGGACCAAGGGATCCTGTCCCACGAGGACCCGCAGATCTTTGCCGGCTCGGGATCCTGCAGAGGGGAATTGTCTTGCGCTGCCTCGATCACCCACCCGTCGTCACCTGCAGGGACAGACGGGAGAAGCTGAGAAGCTACGCAAGGACGTCAAGGGGCCCTGACTGGGCCAATGGTCCATCTCACCACGTGGAACATATGTTTACGCAATGTGCAACGCTTACAAATTTTGGGAGAAAAATACCAGGATGTGTAACCACCATATTGGCCAGAATATAAGCCATACCCGAATATAAGCCACACCTTTAAAATTCAAAGGGCGGGGGGAGAGGGAAAAAGGCAATTCCTGAATATAAACTGCTCCCTTAAAATTCTGCTGGCATTCACACTCATTCCGTTTTGCCGTGTGTCTGTTTCAGCAGCAATATCCCAAAAAAGGCAAATTCTGTAAGGTAGGGAATTTAAGCGGCTTATATCCGGGCCAATATGGTACTACCGTGGGAGACAAATTATCCTAAACCACGTACAGTCAAACCTCGGTTGTCAAAGGTAATCCGTTCCAGAAGCCTGTTCAGCTTCCGAAACATTCAACAACTGAGGCGTGGCTTCCTGACATTCAGAAGACATCTGAAGGCAGCCCTGTTCAGGGAAGTTTTTAATGTATGACATCTTAGTGTAATTTTGGTCTTTGTGGAAGCCGCCCGGAGTGGCTGGGGAAACCCAGCCAGATGGGCGGGGTACAAATAAATGATTATTATTATTATTATTATTGGTTGCAAGAGCTTCCTGCATTCAAGAGGAAACCACACAGAGCCCTTACCCTCCGAATCAGTGTCATCGTTTCCTTCTTGCTTGACCTCGGAGCGAAGTGCTTTCTCCCTGGGGATAGCTGGGGACGGCTCAGCCGTGTGGAAGTTCAAAGCTACCTCCTGGATTAACGCTGGCCTCTGAAACACAGCGGGGGGGGGGGTGGAATCAAAATAGGAAAATGTATGCATGTATGAATATCTCTATCTACCAGCTCCATCTATATCCAGGGTCAGCAAACTTTTTCAGCAGGGGGCCGGTCCACTGTCCCTCAGACCTTGTGGGGGGCCGGACTATATTTTGAAAAAAATATATGAATGAATTCCTATGCCCACAAATAACCCAGAGATGCATTTGAAATAAAAGCACACATTCTACTCATGTAAAAACACGCTGATTCCCGGACCGTCCGCAGACCGGATTTAGAAGGCGATTGGGCCAGATCTGGCCCCCGGGCCTTAGTTTGCCTACCCACGATATATATATGAGGGGCTTATGTTTAGTTCACAAAATTTATACGTTGCTTGACAGTAAAAACAAACCTCAAAGCAGTTTATGGGAAAGATAAAAAGAATAAAACTGTCCAGAAGAAGAATTAGCCACACCCCAGCCTTGGTTTTGCTAACCATTTCTGATGAAGGTAACGTTAATTTGGGATGGAAAGAGCTAATCACCTTCCTTTTTTTAGCTGCTAGACAACTTACTGCTCAAAACTGGAAGTCCCTGCATCTAGAATGACCATAGTAGAAACAAAAAAAGATGGACATTAGCGCTCTCTGAAAATTTAACTACGGAAGTCAAGGGATGAGCCGGAAAAGGAGAAGAGGATAGCTTCAGAGTGACATGGCACCCATATTAAATATGCAATGGTCTATCACTCCCAGTGGCACCATCCAGACTCGCACTTGACACTTGGGGACAATTTTATTCCATAAGGGATCTGTATTTGGTGGGTGGGGAATACGAAGGGGGCAATGTTGGCTGGGGGGGGGTGTTGTTATTTCATGTTATTTTAAAAAGTCAATGAAATACACTGAGAAAGAGGAATAAGGAATAATAGCAATAATTTAAGGCTTTCGGAAAGTCAAAATAACAGATCAAAACTCTCATCAACCATTCTATAAATTTGGGCAGGTCTGGCTAAACAAAAATGTGCTGAGCAGGTGTTGAAAAGAGTGCAAGGAAGGGAACCTGCCTGATATCAAGACAGATCAGCCAGAGAATGTACAAAACGCAGTTGTGAATTAATGCACATTCTCAAGCCGTGTTGGAGATTGTGCACAACGACCGGAGAATGTACAACATCAAGCTGACGTATGCACGTTCGCCAAGGCTTGTTGGAGATGATGTATGCTGGCTGAGAGACGTGCCCAATGTCCTCTTTGGGTTTTGTGCACATTCTCCAAGAGGTCTGGAGAATGTGCACAACGACTGGCTGTTATGCAGATTGGCCACTTGACTTCCGTTCCACACGAAAAACGAAATGGAAGCGCCCCCCTGGGACCGCTTCAAGAAAGCGCTCTCACCTCCCGCTCCAGACGCCTATTTTCTTGCCGCCTGGGCACAAAGTCCTCTGCCAGGGCCACCGCCTGGTCACATGTCTGGGGGCAACTGGCCTTGACCCAGCTCTGCAGCTCTGAGGGAAGGATGGCTAGGAACTGCTCCAGGATCACCAGCTCCAGGATCTGCTCCTTGGAGTGCCTCTCTGGCTTCAGCCACCGGTGGCACAGGTACCAGAGGCGACTACAGGCCTCGCGGGGACCTTCGGCCTCCTGGTAGCGGAACTCCCGGAACAGAGTCCTCTGCACGTCCATAGCGGCCAAATCTTCTCTGAGGAGATCCTCCCTCGCCTTCCTCTCGTCCTCCATCTTGGGGGTCCTGCAATCCCCCTGGCTTTCCCTCCTGAGATCCGGCAGGCCTCTGAACTTCCGGTAGGCCTCAGCCGCTCCTTCCAAGGAGGCCAAGCAAGACTTGGAGTTCTCCCATGGCTCAGATTCCAGTCGCTCGGGGTCCGCCCACCCCGCGTTGCGGGACTTGGAGGCGGCCCGAGGGTCCAGGTATTTCAACCGCCTCTCTCCTGGTTCGTTCGTCATCTTCTCTGGGACTTCCTTCTTCGTGGGGCCTCGGTCATTCCCGGCCTCGAGTTCAGGAGACGCTCGAGTGGCTCCCTCCGACGCCTCGCCAGGCTCGAGGCCAGTTTGGCACAGCTTTTCCTCCGGCTGGTTCCCGCTTCCGGACACTGACTGCTCCATGGGGACCCGGTCCCGGAAGTCTGTGTTCTGAGTTTGTCCTTTCTCCGGGACCATTTTGTGTCTCATGATGAATTCTGGAACAGCGGCCGCCCGGGTCACACTCTCGCGGTCTTGGATTTGATCAGGGACGCCAGAATGCAAATACACGAAAGTATGCAGGACAGACGGACGCAGCTTGAATTATCCACCCATTCTCTGGCTCCTCCAACAAGAGGCTTAGGGCATGTTTAGGCAACACGGCTGTTTCTCCGCTGGAGTTGAGGGGACTTTTCCTGGGAGATGAGGAAAAGGAAAAAAAGATGCAGAGAGATGAGAAAGTGAAGAACTGGAAAGATATATGATTACAGCAGCCAAGTTACACTTATGGCGGCGAGACTTTTACATGCACAAAGACGGAAAGACTCGTCAGTACCAACAACTGAGGAACGGTTACTAAAATTATTCGAGGTGGCGAAATTGACACGTTTGATCAGAGAAAGGTTGTGATTAACATTTACTAAAGATTGGAAACCTCTCGTAAGACTTTTTGGGTGAAAAAGATGATGAAATAATGACATTTGGGTTCGAAGTATGAAGGTATAATGATGATAATAATAATTTATTTATACCCTGCCCATCTGGCTGGGTTTCCCCAGCCACTCTGGGCAGCTTCCAACAGAATATTAAAATACAATAATCTATTAAACATTAAAAGTTTCCCTAACTAGGGCTGCCTTTAGATGTCTTCTAAAAGTCTGGTAGTTGTTTTTCTCTTTGATATCTGGTGGGAGGGTGTTCCACAGGGTGGGTGCCACTACCAAGAAGGCCCTCTGCCTGGTTCCCTGTAACTTGGCCGCCAGAACCGCCAGAAGGCCCTCGGCGCTGGACCTCAGTGTCTGGGCAGAACGATGGGGGTGAAGACGCTCCTTCAGGTATACTGATTTATAGAAAGTACAGTGGTACCTCGGGTTAAGTACTTAATTCGTTCTGGAGGTCTGTTCTTAACCTGAAACTCTTCTTAACCTGAAGCACCACTTTAGCTAATTGGGCCACCTCCTGCTGCTGCGCCGCCGCTGCACAATTTCTGTTCTCATCCTGAAGCAAAGTTCTTAACCCGAGGTAATATTTCTGGGTTAGTGGAGTCTGTAACCTGAAGCATACGTAACCCGAGGTACCACTGTAGCTGTGCTGGATGTTATTTTGGAGTGGACAAATCGAATAATGTTTCTATATAGCTGACAGACAAAGAATTGGAAGTTCTTAAGTTTCTTAACTCCCCCTCTTTCTTTTAATAGCCCCCCTTTATCTATTCCCCCCCTCTCTTTCTCCCCCATTTCCTTTTATTCTTCTCTCAATCTATGTTTTCATTTTACCTAGCATAACATTTTACTTGACAAAAAAAGATACCTGAGAATAGTGGGGCTCGAACCCCCAACCCTGAGACTAAGAGTCTTGTGCTTTTGCCAACTGAGCTACATTTCAGCCAAAGATCTGGTTGCTGGGCTGCGCTGGGGGGCGGCGATGGGCACCCACAGTAAGTTTTTCAGGGGGGCGGGGAGGTGCAAAGGAAAACAATGAAAGGCTAGCTTCTCTCTCACACACAAAATACCCAGGAAGAATAAGCACTTATACAGTTGGGCAAGGCTTTCCAGCATCGCAGTGGGTTGGACTAGATGACCCTGGGGGTCCCTTGCAACTCTACAACTCTCTCCTTCCTTGGAGGTTTTCAAGCAGAGGTTGGCTGGCCACCTGCCATGGATGCTTGAGCTGAGATTCCTGAATTGCAAGGGGGTTGGGCTGGATGACCCCTGAGGGTCCCTTGCAACTCTTCAAACCTAGGTGCTCAGCCACAGCCGCCCCCCACCGAGCCTTTGCCCTTCTCCTGTCCCCGCCAGCCCAGCCACTCATGCGCACTGGAGGCTGCACCCAGCCTGCTCTTTTTTCCCTTTTCTTTTTCTGCAAGGTGCAATGGAAGGAGCTGCTTTACCTGCTCCCGCGAGCGCAGGGGCGCCTGGTTGCAAAAGGGTGCGCGGGAGGCCAAGCTGCCCGGACGCGTCGCCTCCTCCTGCTGTGGCTGCTGCAGCTGCTCCGCCACAAAAGGCGAGGAAGAGGAAATGATGGCCTCCCCCAAGGCTCCCGATGGCTTTCCCCGTCCACTCTGGGAAAGGCAGCCTCGGTCTGCTTAACCCTTCCGTGCAAAGACAAGAAAGCTCGACAGCTGCTTGCTTGCTCTGCAAGGCTGCAGCCTTCGCCCCGTTTGCCTGGAAGAAAAGAGCTGCTCTCAGATCAAGGCAGCTGCAACCCCTTTTGGAGAGGGGCTGGGATTGGGCTGTCAGGCTGCAATCCGCAGGGTCAGGAGAGTGCAGCGAGGCTGCAGTCCGCACAGTGAGGGTCGTACTCTAAAACTGCAAGAGAGCCAGTGTGGTGTAGTGGTTAAGAGCGGCAGACTCATAATCTGGGGAACTCGTAATCTGGGAATCTGAAAACAGCTAAATTTGGTAGGAGGGGGGAAAAGGTAGAAAACAGCTATTCTGGCCAGTGGTGGATTTATGGCCTGCGGGACCCTGCGTGTGACATGTCTTTCGGGGGGGGGGGAGCTTATTTGTTCACCCAAATAAGTGTGACTATGTCAAAATTAGGGGTGTGCTGGTTGTTGGCACCCGTCTGTCTTGAGAGACAATGGATGATGCGGTAATTCTATCTAGAACCCCCATTGGACTCAAAAGAGCACTAAGAAAGCTCACAACATACTGCGAATCTGAACGTCTCAAAATCAACTATCAAAAGACCAAGATACTCGCTTTTGGGGAAAAACCAAAGCTTAGAAGCTGGGAACTCCAAGGCCATAAATTAGAACAAGTCACAAACTACATGTATCTAGGAATGGTGATACAGGCCTCAGGAACCAACAAACTACACATAAACTCCACCGGGAGTTCAGCGGGGAAAAACGCAAATTGTATCCTTAAATTATTCAGAGCACGGGGGGGCTTCTTTGTCCCCGCAGCTCTAAAATTATACAAGGCCAAAACTTTGGCACAACTCCTCTATGGTTCCTTTTTGGGCCCGCCTCCCTCTGCTTTCTCCCCACTTGAGAGAGTTCAATCCAGACTTCTTAGAGCTCTCCTCCAAGTCCCGAGATGTGTCTCAAACGCATGGGTGAGATTGGAAACGGGGATGATGAGAGTGGAGGCTAGCAACTGCCTAACATCAATCTGCAAATGGCTGACATTCAACCTGCTCCCCCGAGGGATGGCTCCATTGATCCTCTGTGACCAATCCCAGTCGAGCTGGCAGACTGCAGTCCTGAACACCCTCCGGAAATTGGGTTTTGCCCCTCAAGCCCTTCTAAGTCTGGGCTTGGACCAGGCAAAAGCTACGGTCAGGCAAAGAATATTAGACACCGAGAGACAGCAGGACTGTGTAAGGTGCCCCAACTATAGAATTGGAGAAATCGAGAGAGATATAGCTGCACCGGCAGCATATCTCTTCTTTCTCGTATCTAGGGATGCAATATTTTGAATTATGGTGCTGGAGGAGACTCTTGAGAGTCCCATGGACTGCAAGAAGATCTAACGCATCAATTCTTAAGGAAATCAGCCCTGAGTGCTCACTGGAAGGACAGATCGTGAAGCTGAGGCTCCAATACTTTGGCCACCTCATGAGAAGAGAAGACTCCCTGGAAAAGACCCTGATGTTGGGAAAGATGGAGGGCACAAGGAGAAGGGGACGACAGAGGATGAGATGGTTGGACAGTGTTCTCGAAGCTACCAGCATGAGTCTGACCAAACTGCGGGAGACAGTGGAAGGCAGAAGTGCCTGCCATGCTCTGGTCCATGGGGTCACGAAGAGTCGGACACGACTAAATGACTAAACAACAACAGGGATGCAAAAAGGGCCAGAAGCTCGGCTCTTCCCTCGCCGGTCCTGGATGGAGCCTTTAAAAAAGTCCCCTATGCTCAGAGACTTTGCACCTGTCCATTGGGAGAGATAGGAAGCCCAGATGTCCCTTTTATAAAGAGGCACGTAGTAAGATCATGGATCCCCTACTGGTGAGGCTCGCTGACCTCCCGCAAAAGCAAAAATTTGACCTTTTGCTGTTGGGCAAAGATCAGAAGATGACCTGGATGGTCGCCAGATTCTGTCTACAGATCTGTAGGCACAGACCATCGCCCAACTCAGAATAGTCCAGCATGAAAAGCCCCAAACACAGTTCCATGGGTGATTCTGAGTCAACTCCCTGGGACAGTTTATTGTTGTACATTGTTTCTAAATTTAGTGTTGTATATTGTTTTAATTCTTTTAACCATATTTGCACAGCAGTTTTTAACGTTGTGAGTGTCCTCTATTTTAGAGGCTTCTACTCTGCAGCCTCTTATAGTTGTTTTATCTGCGAGTCTTTGTTGGTTTTTAGCTCTTATCTCTGCTCCTCCACATGCAGCTGCTGGGTGACCTTGGGCCAGTCACACTTCTCTGAAGTCTCTCAGTCCCACTCACCTCTCAGAGTGTTTGTTGTGGGGGAGGAAGGGAAAGGAGATTGTTAGCCGCTTTGAGACTCCTTAAAGGGAGTGAAAGGCGGGATACCAAATCCAAACTCTTCTTCTTCTTAATTATTAGTTTTTTATCCATCCATTATCTGTGTTTAATCTTGTATTTTATTCGGATGTTTTATGCCTGTTTCCTTGTCCTCATTTGCCCTAACAATTATCGGTCAAAAAATCCTAACTGCTATTTTATCTATATGCTTTTTAAAATCCTGGTCTGTGACCATAATAAAGTTCATTCATTCATTCATTCAAGAGTTATGGGTGCCTCCCCCTCCTGCTGCAACACGCTCCCCTCCCTCCTGGTCTCCCAGACCCAGGAGACGCATGAAGAGGGTGGAGAAGTTAGTGTCACACAGGGTGGAGAAGTCAGTGTCACACATGTACCATCTCAGATTGCTTGGGGGGAAACCCTGGAGAGGGGGGGTGGACTTAGGGAACTGTGGGAAGGCAGGGATATTCAGGAATTTCTTCATCGTGTGTGGGGGCGGGGGAGAGATCTACCGGAGACGCTGTGCTCAGGCCTGACACTCCGGTGCAGATCCTCTTTTTCCTAATAAAGCGTTAACTCCGACTTGCACAGTGTGATTTACTGCTGGGTCACTCATGATAGGCTAGTACAGTGGTACCTCGGGTTACATACACTTCAGGTTACATACGCTTCAGGTTACAGACTCCGCTAACCCAGAAATATTACCTCGGGTTAAGAACTTTGCTTCAGGATGAGAACAGAAATCGTGCGGCGGCAGCAGGAGGCCCCATGAGCTAAAGTGGTGCTTCAGGTTAAGAACAGTTTCAGGTTAAGAACGGACCTCCAGAACGAATTAAGTACTTAACCCGAGGTACCACTGTAGTCATCCTAACAGGCCAGCCTCCCCTACAAGTAATCCTTCACCAACAGAGCAATACCTTGTCACCAGGGCAATGCTTCCCCTAGTGTCCTTGCGTTTTTTATTTTCTTTTACAAACCAGATTAAAATAATACATGCTCGAGCTTGAATACAGTAAACTGTTAAAAACACCCATCAACTACACTAAATATTCGTGTTATTAGCGGAGAAGATTGCTACACTTGGGCTGCTCTTTTAATACTGAAAGATAAAAGAGTGGGTTTTCTAGAGTTCTAGAACAGGGTCTCTAGAGTAGCGTGGATCGCTCCCTTTCCCAAACACACATGATTTGAATTACAGTTACAAAGAGAAAAAACACCACGGAAGGTCCGATATCATCACAAACACTGTTATTCCAAAACAGCAAACACCACCGACCACCATGGCACAAAGTTTTTCAGTAGCTGCAGTTGTTGGCATCCATCTGCCTCGAGGGACAATGGAGTGCGCCTCCGGGGGTGAAGTCAAACCGTCGCATTAGCAGCACTGAAGTGAGCTTCCCAGGGTGCAATAGTCTAAACCCAGGATGGAGAATTTTCGGGTCAGATCAGAAACAGCCAAAAGCTGGCTGTACCAGTTTACCATCAATAGCAGCTGTGCACTGGCAACTCTGAACAGGCGCAGTCATGTTGATAAAAGTCATAAGCCTCAATGAGTGTTGGAAACTTGATTAGTCATGTTATTGTTAAGTTTATCAATAACCTTTTTGTTTAAAGTAATGCATTTTTTTTAAGACCTATTCCTTTTTGTTCTATTTATCATTAAGCTTTATTTGTTTTATTTTACCATTTTAACCTATCTGTGCCTTTCATTTGCATCCAATCCAAGACTGGACCAATTGCCATCTACTCATTGAGAAAAAAACTAAAACACTCCAATCTTTCTCCTGGGCTGGAATTATGACTGAGAGGGCTCTGGAAAGTACTGGAATCTTGGGGAAGGGGGACATATCCCAGACCTACAGAGGGAGGAATCCAATGACTGCTTACAGGATCCTCGTTCCAACACTCAGAGTGGATCCTCTGATGAGAAATGAGATTTCTTTTCTCGCTGAAGCTCTTCCCACACTCTGCGCATTTGTACGGCTTCTCCCCCGTGTGTGTCATGTGATGTCTAAGGAGATGCGCTTTCTTGCGAAAGTGTTCTCCGCACTCTGAGCACTTGTACGGCTTTTCCCCTGTGTGGATTCTCTGATGTGTAACAAGGTTTGTGCTCGTACAAAAGCTCTTCCCGCACTCGGAGCAGGTGTACGGCTTCTCCCCTGTGTGAATGCGCCGGTGCGAGGTGAGGCTGGTGCTCGTGCTGAAGCTCTTCCCGCACTCGGGACAGGCATACGGCTTCTCCCCCGTGTGAGTTCTCTGATGGAAGATAAGGCTTGCGTTCTGAGCAAAGCTCTGACCGCACTCCAGACACGTAAATGGCTTCTCCCCTGTGTGGGTTCTCTGATGCGCCATAAGGGTCGAGCTATGACTGAAGCTCCTTCCGCACTCCAAGCACCGGAACGGCTTCTCCCCCGTGTGAGTTCTCTGATGTAAAGTAAGGTTTGTGTTCTGGCTGAAACTCTTCCCGCACTCCAGGCATTTATACGGTTTCTCCCCAGTGTGGACTCGCAGGTGGGAGGTGAGCTGGGACCTGTGACTGAAACTCTTCCCGCACTCCAAGCAGGCGTACGGCTTCTCCCCTGTGTGGATCCGCTGGTGCCTCACCAACGTCGTCTTCTGACAGAAGCTCTTCCCGCACTCCAAGCAGGTGTACGGCTTCTCCCCTGTGTGGATACGCTGGTGAGTGATGAGGGCCGCGCTCTGACGGAAGCTCTTCCCGCACTCCAGACAGGTATAGGGTTTCTCCCCGGTGTGGATTCTCTGATGTCGGATAAGGCCTTTCCTCTGAGAGAAGCTCTTTCCACAATCCAAGCATTTGTACGGTTTCTCCTCTTTGTGCGTTTTCAAGTGAGCGTTAAAGCTGGATTTGCAGCTGAAACTTTCCCCGCACGCCGGGCACTCGCTGCCTTCTTTCCCTTTCTCTCTTTTCTCTAGGACCGGGGCTTCACGGAAAGCTCCCCCCGTGGCAGCAGAGGAAATATCCCTCATCTGCTCATCCCCTTCCGTTTCCTTGCTCTGCTCTTCCAGCTCCTGTTCACAAGCAGCTCTTTCCAGCAATAATCTGGGCGCGTCTCCCTCATTCCGTGCGCCGAACTCCCAGCCATCACCTGCCGGAACAGCGAGAGAAAATCGGTAAGAGCCTGGGAGAGAAAACCAGGACCCCAAACCTAGGCAGCAAAACCGAGTTTAATGCCTTTCTGAGCTCTAATGCAGAACAAATAAAGTGAAAGCAGTTCCTTTCAAGTTATAAAACGGGGACTCCTTCATGGTTAATAAAAAATAGACCACTTTTATTCGACTTGGTGTAAGTTTTTCTCTGATGTAAACTCATCCACACAGCCCACTAAATCTTAGCAAGTCTACTCTGAATTAGATACCATCTGTAAAGCAATTTCAGGTAGTTCTCCTTCAAGTAATAAGTTGCAGTAAACTTCAGATTGCTCTTCCAAATTCTTTCCCTAAAGATGGAAATCTATATCGTGTCCTAGATCTATTGCCCAGTGTGTCATAGAAAGCCTCCTCTTTCGTCCACCTCCTGGATTTCCTGATCCTCTGACTTGTCTTTGTGTCCTACCACCTCCCCCTGGGTCTGAGTCTTCTTCCTCTGTGGGTTCCCTAGAGGGTTCCTCGGCTGGAGCCTCCCACCATTCGTCATCCAGCCAGTCCCCGACACCGCAGGCTTGAGGCTCCATAAAGATAAAGGACCATTAGGTCTAGACACTGACGACTCTGGGGTTGCGGTGCTCATCTCGATTATTGGCAAAGGGAGCTGGCGTACAGCTTCTGGGTCATGTGTCCAGCATGACTAAGCCGCTTCTGGAGAACCAGAGCAGCGCATGGAAATGCCGTTTACCTTCCCGCCGGAGCGGTACCTATTTATCTACTTGCACTTTGACGTGCTTTCGAACTGCTAAGTGGGCACGAGCTGGGACCGAGCAACGGGAGCTCACCCCGTTGTGGGGATTCGAACCACTGACCTTCTGATCGGCAAGTCCTAAGCTCTGTGGTTTAACCCACAGCACCACCCATGTCCATACAGGATGGCAAATCCCTGTCTCCTAAGAGACCCCCACGAGCCTGCCACAAGAACTGGACCCAAGCAAAGGATGCTGGGTTCTGATGCCGGTGGCCGTTTCGACTGTCAGCATCTGCCAAGTCAAAGCAAAAAAGGAAGCCTTACTGAGAGAGGCCAGGTTTCCAGAATTCTCCTCCATAACTTCCACATGCAGGGCTCTCTGGGCCGGATCCAGCAACACCCACTCGTCGTCTGTGAAATATACAGCCACATCCTCAAAGGACACCCGATCCTGGAGGTGGAGAAGGAAGAAGAAAACGAATTCTCTTTTTTAAAAAGTGGGGGGCAAGGAACACGATGAAGAGTTGCGTCCTTTTGAATTATGGTGCTGGAGGAGACTCTTGAGAGTCCCATGGACTGCAAGAAGATCAAACCTATCCATTCTGAAAGAAATCAGCCCTGAGTGCTCACTGGAAGGACAGATCGTGAAGCTGAGGCTCCAATACTTTGGCCACCTCATGAGAAGAGAAGACTCCCTGGAAAAGACCCTGATGCTGGGGAAGATTCAGGGCACAAGGAGAAGGGGACGACAGAGGATGAGATGGTTGGACAGTGTTCTTGAAGCTACCAGCATGAGTTTGACTAAACTGTGGGAGGCAGTGGAAGACAGGAGTGCCTGGCGTGCTCTGGTCCATGGGGTCACGAAGAGTCAGACATGACTAAACAACAACAACAAGAAGTTCTACTCAAGCGTAGGCCCACTGCAAGAAATGAACCGGTTAGGCAAGTCCAGTAACTTAGATGGGACTAGTCTGCATAGGCTGAAGGTGGGTAAAAGATTATTGTAGTAATAAATAATAATAATTATAATTATAATTTATAACCCGTCCATCTGGCTGGGTTTCCCCAGCCACTCTGGGCGGCTTCCAACAGAATATTTAAAAAAATTAAAAAATTAAAAACTTCCCTGCGAAGCTGGTCAGACGGAAAAAGAATCATAGAACCATAGAATTGTTGAGTTGGAAGAGACCCTGAGCATCATCTAGTCCAACCCCCTGCAATGCAGGAATGGGGATCAGGCCTGCAACCTTGGCATCATCAGCACCATGCTCTAACCAACTGAGCTACCTAGGTGTCAGGGGCTAGACTGAGGAGGAATCATGGGAGCCGCCCTCCCCCTTCTCCTGAACCTGCCAAGGGCAGGAGGACAGTATAGATTTAGAGCAGTGGTTTGCAGAGGGGCACAGTCCAGAGGGGAAAAGCTGGGAAATACTGGGTGAGGAACAACTAGAAGAGGAAACACCAGGAGAGAGACAGTGTTCTTGGAAAGCATTCCTGAGCCCCCTTTGCCTAGGGCTAGGCGGGCTTTGAGAGTGACAGAACAGAGAGCTCAGCGGCAACAAGCTCAGATCACCCAACGTAGGAGTGATGTAGATTAATGGGGACGGAGGGGGTAAACCTTTACTAGGAGCAACGCCGTTTCTAGAGAGATATGCATTCCTTTGTCTCTCGCTGTGATTATTAAAGAAACTTACTGGGTAAGAACACTCCTTTCGTCTGATCTGCTTATTTACTGCCACTGGGGGACGGATCCGATCCCCCGAAGCCTGACACCAAGTGATATTGTCACCCAGAGAGTTTCCTGGCTTCCCAATGGATCTCCTGCTTGGTCACTATGAGGATGGATGCAGGGACCGGTTGGGCCCTCTTTGGCTGCAAGAATCAACAAGGTTCTCCTGAGGTTCTCATGTTCACAACCGGAAAGCCTAGCCATGCTGAAGTTCTTAGGGGCTTTGGGGTGGGTTGCTCTTCATTAACGGACTCCCCTCGTCTTCTAGACGCTTCCTTCGTTGTAGTAAAGGGACAGGAACCTTCCGGGCCCAGGCATACAAGCTGCCTCCATTGATCCCTCCGGGATTCTTTCCCCTACCTGATCAGGCCCCACAGCTGCCGTTTCCACTCCGCCAGAAGGAGTGCAGGTTGCCGGGGTCACTCTGTTGCCTGGAAGGAACACAAAAACAGCGGGAGGATATTTCATTTCCTTTAAACATCTTGCGTTTCCATTTCAATCAGGGTGGATAAAAATCAATGATTTCTTTAAAAAATTAAAATTGGATATTTAAAATTTAAATCAGATTTTTTAAAAATTCAATGGGATTTTTAAAATAAAAAGCTTTTGGAGGGAAAAATCTTTCTAAAGAAAGTTTTCTATTTAAGTTACATTACAGTCCAAAGGCTATTCATCAGGAAATAAGGACATGTTTTAAGTTTTTCCTGCGTGCTAAAACACAGTCTAAGTTTATTTATTTGTTTTTTAAAAAATGTTTAACCACATCAGTTAACAAACATGGATACATATGCTATAATGTTATTGTTTTAGTTAAATAAATTGTTTAAATTGTTACGAAGGAAATGATTATTTTTCTCCTTTCAATAAAGCAGAAAAGTTGTCCAAATATAAACAGTCAACTTATTAAACCTCACAATAATTTCATAATTATCTGCCTATGTATAACCAAATCAGTAAATTTTGATATAACTGTAAAAACCACTCTGAAAATGTATTAAGATTATACCAGCAAGAATGAGTCTTTCTGTAAAATAAATAAATCAATCAAGTCTTACTGATTTGTGATTTAAATTGTGATTTAAATCGTGATTTAAATCAAATCCACCCTGGTTTCAATATACCTGGTTTGCACACCATGCCAAGCTGTGGCTCACTAAACCATAGCTTGTTGCTCAGCTCAGGGGGAGAAGAGGCTGAGAAAGTGTGAAAGCAACATATATTTACAGGAGATAATTAAAGGAGTAAATTAAATGAATTTGGAAATGCAGAACATATGAAAACGTAAATTTAAGGAACCGCAGAGAGAGGAGGAAGGAAGTCAAATTTTGAAATGTTAAATGGATTGTAAAATTAATGAAATGTGTAAATTTGAAAACTATAAATAAAAAAAAAAAAATTTTTGGCATGTGTCGGAAAGCGTACAGTGATATTGATAGCCAGGGAGTTTGAGACTGCGGGTGCTGCCACACTAAAAGATAAATTCTTACAAATGGAGACAGGCGGCAGTTTTCCTTACCTAGTGAGTTGGCAGCTTGGTCACACTCTTGCACGATCCACCTGAAGAGCCGTCTCTCTCGGGGAGCTGAGGCCGCCTGCTCTGCCCCACGGACACCCAGAGAGACTTCAGCTAGAGGTCCCTGCCCCTGAAGCAGAAAGGAGGGATGATATTATTACTAATTTCCTGGCCTAATTTCCCTAAGCACCCAGGGTGAGGTACAGAAATTAAAGCCCAACCTTAAAACCACTTAATACAACTTACAGCCACAGGAGAAAGGTTCTAAAAAATCAGAAGCAGTGTTAGAAAATCAGATACAGATACAGTCAAACCTCGGATTCCGAACGCCTCTGCTTTGGAACATTTCGGCTCCCAAATGACAAAAACCCAGAAGTAAACGCCTTGGTTGTCGAACATTTTGGAAGCCGAACAGGCTCCCGGAACAGATTACGTTCAACAACCAAGGTTTGACTGTATAATCTAATCCCCAAACAGCATTTTAAACCTAGGTTACGGTCGCAACAATGGAATGTCCAGGTGCCAAGGTTTGTTTGGTTTTGGGGTTTTTTTGCAATTGAACATCATCATCATTATTATTCATTTCATTTCGGTACTGCTTTATATTTTACAGAACAGATCTTCCAAGTGATTTGCAACATTCAAACATAAAACAGGAATTGGTTCGGAGTAACTTGGACCTTTTGGTTTCTAACCAGTTGGTCCTGATTAAAACATAAAACAAAACAATCCAGAACAAATCAAATTAGAGCTTATTTCAGATCCTTCTCCAAGGGATATTTCGCTTTCGCCAGTCGCCAGCCTGGTGCAGCGAGAGATCTCCACATGATCCATGCCAGCAAGCTCTTCTTACGCTCTCTTGCATTTCTATACTTGACAGAACATTCATAAGCCTGAAACTCTTTTCCTTGCTTATTTTAGAAAAGGAACACAAACATACTAGAAAAGTGACAAATGTGTAAGACAAACTGTGCCCTCTGAATTTGATATTATGCTGAAAAATTCATGCCATGTCCAAGCATTTAAAAAAGGAAAAGGAAATGGGGAGTGGGAAGAGAAAAGGAAGAAGAAGAAGAAGAAGAAGAAGAAGAAGAAGAAGAAGAAGAGTAGTAGTAGTAGTAGTAGTAGTAGTTTGGATTTGATATCCCGCTTTATCACTACTCGAAGGAGTCTCAAAGCGGCCAACATTCTCCTTTCCCTTCCTCCCCCACAACACACACTCTGTGAGGTGAGTGGGGCTGAGAGACTTCAGAGAAGTGTGACTGGCCCAAGGTCACCCAGCAGCTGCATGTGGAGGAGTGGAGACACGAACCCGGTTCCCCAGATTACGAGACTACCGCTCTTAACCACTACACCACACTGGCTCTCACCACACTGGAAAGTGTTGGGGGCTTGGATTCCCTCCTCCTTTTGGAAACTAGTGGGGTTTTTTTCCACTTTATTCATGCTCACATTTTTGTCTTTTGGAACTACCAGAACAAAACCCTCTCTCACCTGCTGCTCTGCCTGCTTCTTCTCCTCTGCCCGACTCAGGAGGAAACCTTCGGCCAGGGCCACCGCCTGGGAACTGGTCTCCGCTCCACATTCCCTGACCCAGCTCTCCATCTCCGGGGGGAGGACAGCCAGGAACTGCTCCAGGATCACCAGGTCCAGGATCTGAGCCTTGGTGTGTCTCTCTGGCTTCAGCCACTGATGGCAAAGATGGTGGAGTCGGCTGCAAACCTCTCGGGGCCCCTCGGCCTTCTGGTAGCAGAAGCGCCTGAAACGTCGGCGTTGGGCATCCAAGTCAAGGGCATCCTCCTCGCCCAGGATCTCTGGTGTGGTTCTTTCCCAGAATCCCCCGCTGCTCCCAGCCTGGATAACATTCTGGCGTCTTCCTGCTTTCAGCTTAGCCAAGGCTTGCTCCTCCATTTCCCAGCCGCGCTCCGAGGACACCTTCTTCCGGGCCCCCAAAACAGCTTCCTCCTCTTTCCACCTGCGATCACCCAAATGGATTAGGCTTCTAAACCAGCAGAGAGCCAGGAAATCTTACATGAAATGTTACACTAGCAGAGCATTCAGATGCAATTGGCAATCTCATTCGGGCATCTATATATTCCCCCCCAGCCCATACCAAAGAGTATTACAGTGGTACTTCAAGTTAAGAACTTAATTCGTTCTGTAGGTCCATTCTTAACCTGAAACTGTTCTTAACCTGAGGTACCACTTTAGCTAATGGGGCCTCCCGCTGCCACCGCACAATTTCTTCTTCTCATCCTGAAGCAAAGTTCTTAACCCGAGGTACTATTTCTGGGTTAGCAGAGTCTGTAACCTGAACCGTCTGTAACCCGAGGTACCACTGTACTGTATTTCAAGATTCAGATTACGCAGCATATTCCATAAACAGGATGAAGAATCGTCTATTTAACACAATATTCAAACTACAAAAATACAGAATACTGTTTTTTTCCTTGTAAGTATTGAATGGGAAAGGAGTACGGCAAGGCTGTATATTGTCTCCCTGCTTATTTAACTTATATGCAGAATTCATCATGCGAAAGGTTGGGCTGGATGAATTCCAAGCCGAAATTAAGATCGCCGGAAGAAATATCAACAACCTCAGATATGCAGATGACACAACCTTGTCATGACAGGTGGCCAGCCAACCTCTGCTTAAAAACCTCCAAGGAAGGAGAGTTCACCACCTCCCGAGAAAGGCCAGTTTTTGGTTAACTGCAAGAGGGGAGAATTGCAGGCAGGGCTTCCCACTCTCGAATGTGCAATGTTTAATTGCATATAATGTTCAATTACATTAAAAAAAAAAAAAAAATGTTGTAAGCTGCCCAGAGTGCCAGCAGCAACCCAGTAAGATGGGTGGTGTGCAAGCAAATAAATAAATAAATAAATAAATAAATAAATAAATAAATATTTTACTTATACCCTCCCCTCCCCGGCCAGAGCCGGGCTCTGGGTGGCTAACATCAGTACAGTAAAATTACAGTAAAAACATAATGGGGGGGGGCAACTTAAAATACAGGTTAAAATGTAATTTAAAATGCAGCCTCATTTTAAAAGTAGCCCATAATATGATGATGATGATGATGATGATGAAATCGGGTGTCCCTATTTTCAGGGGAGGAATGTGGGCTGCTGTCCTCCCTCCAGTGCAGGAGGCTGCAAATGCCTCTGAAGGCCAGCTTTGGGGAATTGCAATGGGATGGAATTGCAAGAGGGGCTTCCCATGGGGGGGAGAAGCTGTCTTGCCCACTGTGAGGACAGATCCTGGGCCCGGAGGGCAGGGCTCCTCCTTGCAAGCCAGCCAGCCAGCAGCCCGCCCACCTGCCTTGCCCCCTTCCTCTCCCCTCCGTTCAAAGGCGCTCCCCACTCATAGAATCAGGCAATCTGAAGAGATGGGAAGGGACCCCCAGGGGTCATCTAGCCCAACCCCCTGCAATGCAGGAATCTCAGCTGAAGCATCCAAGACAGGTGGCCATGCAACTCACCAGCTCCTTCCAGCAGGCCTGCTGCAAACAAAGACCCCCCCTCTTTTTTCTCCCAGGGAAGGGGGCGGGACAGGAAAGAAGCTGTCACTCTCCTCTGCCCTTGGCTGGCTTCCTTCCTTTGCGCCCCCTCTAGGAAGCGCAGCTGGACTCTCTCGTTTTAACCCCGAAGTGGCCGGGGATTAGAAACAGCTGCAGCTGCAGAAACAACCACGGTCTCGCTACGGATTCACTAATCGCGACTGCTCCTTAAAAAACAATGATAATTGTTTTATTATTGTTTTAAAAATGCATTTTCTCTCTCTTTCCTTCGAGGTGCAGGAATGTGTGCATTGTAAGCCTACCTCACAGGGTTGTTGGGGTCGTGATGAAAGCCGCGTGGCAGCACACTGAGTCCTTGGGAGAAAAGGCCTTGGGGTGATGGACATCCGATGGCATTTTAAAGGTGTTGTGGAAGGGGGGCATTGCTAGTTTTGTACTGTTCTTAAGGGTGTTCTGTTCTGTGGTTTTTATATTGTAATAAATAATGTGTACAACTTTAGGAGCAAAGTGTTTAAATGTGTTGTTGGAATTATCGATTTGACCTTGATCTTATTTTTGTTATGTATTTTGTGTCTTTTCATCATAGAATAGTAGTGTTGGGACACCGACGGTCATCCAGCCCAACCCCCTCCAATGCAAGAATCTCAGTGTTGAAATTGAATTGAATTTTATTATTATGGTCACAGACCAGTTTCGGCTCACTTACAATATCAGGAAAATCATAAAACACAACAGGAATACATTGAATTGCAATTGGGTAGAACAGAGAATCTCAGTGTTTGCTATCTTTGCCAATATCTCTCTCCCTCACAAACACACACAACACCACCCACAGAAATAAATTATTTGGAAGGGTATTTTCCCTGAAAATTAAGACTTGTCATCATTTGCATAGATGTTTTCTTCGCTTACATCCTTCTGGTTCTGCTGTCCCAGGAGAAGGACAAGATCTGCTGCCAATCGTGGCTCTTCTTTGCCTTCAGAGATCCCACTCTTGTCCACTTTGAAAAGGAAGTGGTGGCCCAGAGATGGAAAGAAGATAAAAGTCCCAACCAGAGAAAAATGGCAGATTAAATTGATGGATTAGGCTGAAATGGCTAAAATTACTGAAATAATCAGAAATCAGGAAGACCAAAATTTTAATAAGGAATGGGGAAAATTTATAATTTACCTTAAAAAACCATTGTAAACAGTTGAAATTGTTAGTAGGATTAGAATAACACTTGTAATTTAATGGTGGGTTTTGGATATAATGGAGATGTGAAAGATCTGGATTACAGTAATACCTCATGTTAAGTTTGCTTCATGTTACGTTCTTTCAAGTTACATCCCGCGGCGACACAGAAGCACCGGAAAGGGTTACTTCCGGGTTTCGCCGCTTGCGCATGCACACAAGCACTAAATCGCACCACGCACCTGTGCAGATATGGCGCTCCAGTTTGCGCTCTTTTCATGTTGTGAACGGGCCTCTGGAACGGATTCCGTTCGCAACCAGAGGTACCACTGTATTATAAAAGATGCAGGAAGAAAGGATTAACAATAGGGGAGGAAGGAAGTACAAGAGATTCTTTGGAAACCTGTTTCTGTGTTGTATGTTGGATATGTAACTGTAAAACTGTAATTTGAAAAACCAAGTAAATATTTTTTTTCAAAAAAAGAAAAGGAAGTGGTGGGACCGTGTGCAAGGTTAGAGATGCCGTGCGAGTTTGACCAAGCAACATAAAAACCTTTGCGGAGAGTCTGATGGCTTAGAAAAAAAGGAGAGCCTGGCTGTTGAATCAGCCCAGTGGTCCAGCATTCTGTTCTCACAGTGGCCAACAAGGGGACCTCATGGGAAGCCCGTAAGCAGGAGCTGAGCACAAGAGCCACACTCTACCACCCCTTGCCTTTCCCAGCGTGGCATTAAGAGGCCTGACCGTGGAGGCACAGCCAGTTTCTGAGCACAATTCAAAGTGTTGGTGCTGACATTTAAAGCCCTAAATGGCCTCAGCCCATTATACCTGAAGGAGCATCTCCACCCCATCGTTCTGCCCGGACACTGAGGTCGAGCTCCAAGGGCCTTCTGGCGCTTCCCTCCCTGCGAGAAGTGAGGTTACAGGGAACTAGGAAGAGGGCCTTCTCGGCGGTGGCACCCTCTCTGTGGAACGCCCTCCCAGCAGATGTCAAGGAAATAAACAACTACCTGACTTTTAGAAGACATCTGAAGGCAGCCCTGTTTAGGGAAGTTTTTAATGTTTGATGTTTTGTCGTTTTTCGTTTCCCGCAGACTGTCTCACCAGAGTGGTGCATGCTCTGGTTATCTCCCACTTGGACTACTGCAATGCGCTCTACATGGAGCTACCTTTGAAGGTGGCCAGGAAGCTACAACTAGTCCAGAATGCGGCAGCTAGACTGGTGACTGGGAGTGGCCGCCGAGACCATGTAACACTTGTCCTGAAAGACCTATATTTGCTCCCAGTACGTTTCTGAGCACAATTCAAACTGTTGGTGCTGACATTTAAAGCCCTAAACAGCCTTGGCCCAGTATACCTGAAGGAGCATCTCCACCCCCATAGTTCAGTCCGGACACTGAGGTCCAGCTCCGAGGGCCTTCTGGCGGTTCCCTCCCTGAGTGGTTACAGGGAACCAGGCAGAGGGCCTTCTCGGTAGTGGCACCTGCCCTGTGGAACACCCTCCCACCAGATGTCAAGGAAATAAACATCTGAAGGCAGCCCTGTTTAGGGAAGTTTTTAATGTTTGATGTTTTATCATGTTTTTAATATTCTGTTGGGAGCCGCCCAGAGTGGCTGGGGAAACCCAGCCAGATGGGTGGGATATAAAAAATAAATCATCACCATCATCATCACTGTCCCTGCAGGAGTGATTTCCAAATCCTCTTGAATGTGTCTTAATTCCCGAGGCCAAGGGCAACAATATTCTTAAACAAGGAAAAGTTTTTTTGACTGAGAGAGAGTTCATCCAAATCAGAGAACTGCCAGCTACTTCCATGACTAATCTGTAAATTTAAAGGCTAGGACAAAATACTCGAATATATGCAACAGAGTAGAAGATTAACAATGGACGGCCATTTTAAAAACTGATTCGAACTCAGGATCCAGTTAATTTACCTCTGCTCCCTCATGGAAACTGAAGGGAAATTAGGAACAGCTGGTCCAGTCCCCTCAGGGCCCTCCAGACACCTGTTGCTGTTTTTATGCAGCGGTAATGGACATCATAGGGACGCGGGTGGCGCTGTGGGTTAAACCACAGAGCCTAGGACTTGCCGATCAGAAGGTCGGAGGTTCGAAACCTTGCAACGGGGTGAGCTCCTGTTGTTCGGTCCCTGCTCCTGCCAACCTAGCAGTTCAAAAGCATGTCAAAGTGCAAGTAGATAAATAGGCATCGCGTTTCCATGCACTGCTCTGGTTCGCCGGAAGCGGCTTACTCATGCTGACCACATGACCCGGAAGCTGTACGCCGGCTCCCTCAGCCAATAAAGCGAGATGAGCACCACAACCCCAGAGTCGGCCATGACTGGACCTAATGGTCAGGGGTCCCTTTACCTTTACCTAATGGACATCATAATAATTGACACAACATGTAACTGACACTTTAGTGTGTTAGTATTGGGTTTATAAAAGGGATGCGGGTGGCGCTGTGGGTAAAACCTCAGCGCCTAGGACTTGCGCGGCGGGGTGAGCTCCCATCTTTCGGTCCCAGCTCCTGCTCACCTAGCAGTTCGAAAGCAGCCCTAAGTGCAAGTAGATAAATAGGGACCGCTTTATAGCGGGAAGGTAAACGGCGTTTCTGTGTACTGCGCTGGTGCTGGCTCGCCAGAGCAGCTTCGTCACGCTGGCCACGTGACCCGGAAGTGTCTTCAGACAGTGCTGGCTCCCGGCCTCTCAAGTGAGATGAGCGCACAACCCTAGAGTCGGACACGACTGGCCCGTACGGGCAGGGGTACCTTTACCTATTGGGTTTATACCGGATATCCCACACCTCATTCTGCTTTCTTAGTAGTTCTGAGATGCTTCCCAAATTATACTGCATTTCTGACATCTAGAGGGCCAAATTCAGAAGAGCAGGGTCTCACAGTCATTACTCCTTCTAAGATTATATAATCTTATAAGATTATACAAGATCATAATACATGGGGATACATTGCCACAATCAGATCTGCATGTGTTGCCTTTTGACAATATCTTCCCTATTCTGGGCAAATGATTTGCAGTGCTCAAAGACCTTTTTGAGTTGTGTTTTCCATTGTAGGCCAAGGGCCTTCTCAGTAGTGGCACCCGCCCTGTGGAACGCTCAAGGAAATAAACAACTATCTGACTTTCAGAAGACATCTTAAGGCAGCCCTGTTTAGGGAAGTTTTTAATGTTTGATGTTTTATTGTATTTTTAATATTTTGTTGGGAGCCGCCCAGAGTGGCTGGGAAAACCCAGCCAGATGGGCGGGGCATAAATAATAAATTATTATTCTTATTATTATAGCCAACAGAACTCACTTGGCAGTTTCTTGAAGGTGACATGCTTTAAGCGTTCCTGGCTGCTTAGCTTCGGGGCGTAAGGAGGAGCAGCTCCTGCTCGGTTTTCATCCTTGTGCGCCTCCTGCAGAATGGCCCTGGGAGCCAATCCTTGGAAGGTAAGGACTCATTTCACTGGTGCTTGCAGAAGAGGAACTACATGTCATAGCCGCTTGGGCTCAACCAGAGAGACTGCTGGCCAGCCTCAGCTGACAGACTCCCAAAGGGTGTCATGCAAAACAGGGATGAGCCAAACAAGAGACAACACATTCAGAACTGCTAGCAGCATTAAAAGAGAATGCTTCGAGAGGCGGGGAATGGTTTCAGTTTATTTATCCTTCTAAAGTATACAAGGAAAATATCTATTTTCAGGAGTGTCATTTTCAGGAGATGCAATGCGACTGAGGGTACATTCTGTCATATGTGGTGGACCTGTAAAAGGGTAAAAGAGTATTGGGAAATAATTCGTAATGAATTGAAAAAAATGTTTAGAAGTACTTTCCCAAAAAAATCAGAGTCCTTTTTGTTGGGGATAATTCAGATGGAAATTCCCAGGTGTCAAAAAAGGCTATTTATGTATGCCACTACTGCAGCCCGTGCTTGGTTAGCCCCCAAATGGAAAACGAGCGAGGTTCCAACTAAAGAAGAATGGCAACTTAAACTGATGGAATATGTGCAGCTTGCAGTCCTAACATACAGAATAAGAGAACAAGAAGAACGTATGTTTGAAGTAGATTGGAAAATGTTTATTGAATATAGGGGGGGGGAGGATGTGTATTTTTGAAAATGTGGGCTGCATTAAGATGAATTCAACAGTGTAAATAAGTTTTGATGGATGCAATAATGGAATACTGAGTGGTTTAGTTAATATAAAATACGCAGGGATTTATGCTATGCAAAATGAACCATGGAAAGAGAAGGGAAGTCATTGATATTTTAAGGTTGTTTAAATTAATATTCTAAAATGTAAAACTGAAAATTTAATAAAAATAATGGAGAAAAATAATAATTTGGGAGCGCCAACTCTCACCTGTGAGTATTGTAGAACTGAGGTTTTTGTGGTGTGAGCTCAGTTTGGAAGTCTTGCCCTGGAACCAGACTGAAGCTATTAAAAAACTGGTGATCGGGGTGGGACAAAGAGACCTTCTAAAGTCAGCCAGAGCTGTGGATTCAGGCTCCCCACGGCTGCCACACACCTAATGCGTGGAGGATTTTAATAAGGCGGGTATTTTGGTAGAAATGGGGAATGGTCATAGCTCATTTGCAGAGCATCTTCTTTGCGTACGCTCAATCCCTGGCATCTCTGGGTAGTCTCAGAGAGAACCCTGCCTGGATTCCTGGACAGCCATGGCCAGTCAGTGTGGCAACTGTATGCCGGATGGACCCAACAGCCTGGTTCGGGCAGCTTCCTCTGTTCCTTCTGCCTCCTCATATGAAGTGAGTGATGACAAACGCTTTCCCCAAAGCAAGCGGGTTCCTGCGCCAAGGCTTCTCTTCCCTGTGCATCCACTGGTGGCTCACGAGCTGTGATTTCCAAACGAAACCCCACCGGCACTTGTCGCACTGGTAAGGTCTCTTCCGCGTGTGGGTGTTAGGAGTCATTCTGCAAAGAAACAGAAAAGATGATTGTAACTTTAAGAACTGTTTCTGTGAGTGGTTTTCTAGGCTGATTAGGTACAGCTGGTGATGAGTATAAAAAGAGGAGAAATTGCAGTTTGAATTTGCCTGCAGAGAGAGAACACCCATATGCTTTGTGTTTGTTGTTTTGCATAGCTGTAATAAAAGCTTTGTTTGAGTGTTTACACTGGTCTCGTGGTTCTGTCATTGGCCACCAGAAGAAACCCCCCTCTAACAGGTTATGGGCACCAGTCCTGAGTGGGCAGAGACAGAGCGTGGAAAAGAACCCAGAGATTGGAAGTGACTCAGCGTTTCTCAAGCAGCTGGCTGTGTGAAGGCGTCGGCAGGGAGTGTCTGTTTGAGACCAGGAGCCAAACAAGTCTCCAAGCCACGTGTGAGTAAAGACTGAGTGGAAAGCTGAAAGCTGGGTGGAGCCATGGCTGGACTTGGAGCTAGAGCTCAAGGGAGAGCTTCATGTTTTCCAGTAGAGAAACTGGGAGAATCCAATTATATGTCATGGAGTTTATAGATGCAGGCATTTTTAAAGAAAGAACAATGTTGGACTGTTATTGTTAATGCTCCTGTAAAAGATAAGTATGAAGAGTTAGATGAAGCAGACCAAAGAGTGGAGGACAAAGCATATGCCAATCTAATTTTGAGTTTAGAGAAGTCTCAGTTATCTCATGTGCGAGACCTTGAAACAGCAAGTGAGATTTGGCAAGCACTAAGAGCGATACACATTAGAGACACTGCTAGCAGCAAAATTACTCTAATGAGAGCTCTGTATCGAGCCAGACTAAGTGAGGGTGAATGTGTTTCAAAACACCTTCAAAGAATGCATGATTTATTTTCACAGTTAAATAAACTTGGGGAACATTTTTCTGAGCAGAGAAAGGTTTATATTGTGCTGTCTTCACTTCCCAAGTCATGGGATTATTTAGTGATGATGCTGGAGGCAATTCCAGAAAACCAATTAACGATGCATTTCTTAACAGGGCATTTGCTTGATGCGGAGGAAAGGCGCCATGAGAGGAAGGCGACAACACCTCACCATAACTCCGGAAAATGTTCAGTTTTTCTGGACTGCAATACCTGCAAGGAGTCTAAAAGTAAGCGGAGATCTTATCCTGAAAGTAATAGAATTAGCAAGAAGCCATTTGCTTTAGTACACTCAGACCTTTGTGGGCCATTTGCAGAATCTGAAGGAGGAGCAAAGTTTTTTCTGGTTCTTGTGGATGATTATAGCCGGTATACTTCGGTATACTTGTTAAAACACAACAGTGAAACTGGTCAACTGATTAAAAATTGGGTCAACTATATAGAAAGGAAGTTTCCCTACAAAGTTACCCAATTGCAGAGTGACCATGGAGGCGAGTTCATGTCTGAAGCCCCCCAGATATGGTTGAAAAAACGTGGTATTAGTCACTGTAAATCGTGTCCCTTTTCACCCGAAGAAAATTCCATTGCAGAACGCAAGATAAGGTCTTTACAAACAATGCTAGATTCTATGTTATGTGAGTCTGGCTTATCCAGGAAGTTTTGAGGGGAAGCAATTCTCTGTGCTAATTACATACAGAACAGATTGTTTCATTCTATCATAAACAATACCCCTCATTTTTTGCTTTATGGAAAAAAGCCTTTTTTGGACCATGTTAAAACTTTTGGTTGTTGGGCTTGGGTTCACATCCCAAAAGGACAGAGAAGGGAAGGAGATCCAAGGCAAAGAGACTTAGATTTGTTGGTTATCGAAGTTGGTCAAAAGCGTATAATTTTGCACTAGGGCATGGCAGAGTTGTGATATCAAGACATGCAAAGTTTTGTGAGCAAGATGGTTGGGCTCATTTACATGGAAATTCAGAAGTTTTATCTTCAGATGATACAGATAAATTTGTGAAATCTGAGGAAGAAAAGCCACAAATTCAAGGAAGTTCTGAAAGTGATAGTGATGAGGAATCGGGGGATGAGAGTCCCAGTACACAATCTCCTAAAGCTGAACCAATTTATCCTGAGCAAGATGAATTAGAAGGGGAAGATAGTTCAGAGGGGGAAAGTGTTCAAGTTAGAAGATCACAAAGAAGCAATAAGGGGGTACCTCCAGAAAGGTTTACTATACAAGAAGTTAAAACTGTTGAAGTGAAGAAAGAACCTTGTGATTATGAGGAGGTTTTAAAGTTACCACACCAGGAAATAATAATGTGGGAAAATGCAATGAGAGCAGAAATGAAATCTTTGGCAGAGCATAATGTGTTTACTATTGAGCCATTGTCAGAAGGAAAAAAGGCAGTGGACTGTAGATGGGTGTATAAAATAAAACACTTGGCAGATGGTGGTGTTAAGTACAAAGCTAGGCAGGTAGCACGAGGTTTTACGCAAAGAAAAGGTGAAAGTTTTGATGAAACCTTTTCTCCTACTACAAGGAGCGAACATGTACGTTTATTGCTAGGTATTGCAGCACAACGGGGGTTTAAAATAAATCATTTTGATATTGAGACAGCTTATCTTAAAACAAAACTGCACGAAGAATTTTTTATGAATCAAGCACCAGGATTTGAGGCAGGCGAACAGAATTCTGTATATAGGTTACACAAAGCAATCTATGGGCTCAAACAATCAGCTAGAAATTGGAACAAGTGTCTCAATAATGCTTTAAAAAATCTTGGCTTTAAAAGTAGCTTAGCTGATGATTGCTTGTACACTAAAGGAAAGGGTGATAAACAAGAATTATGTTTGTCTTATGTTGATGATTTGCTTTTTTCTACAAAAAATGACAAGCAAATGGACAAATTTGCAGAACAACTAAGAAAGGAATTTAAAGTAAGAGATTTGGGACCAGTGAAAAATTATCTCAGTCTAGAAATTCAAAAGACAAACGATGGAAGTTTTTTGTTGAGTCAAAAAGATAAAATAATGGAATTACTAGAAAGAACAATATGCAAAATAGCAAGGGAGCAAAAACCCCAATGGAAACAGGTTTTTTCAATAATGAAGGAGAATGCACAGAACCAGTAAATCCTGAAATGTACCGTTCAATAGTTGGAAGTTTATTATACATTTCATTGTGGAACAGACCAGATTTGAGTTATGCAGTTGGAATACTGAGCAGACTAGTAAGCTACCCCACAGAAAATGCCTGGAAGGGTTTAAAACGTATTTTCTGGTATCTAAAACTTACACTTGATTATTGTTTAGGATTACCATCTTCAGGGTCTACAAAATTGCAGTGTTACGTTGACAGCGATTGGGCCAACCTGCCTGATAGAAAATCCATTTCTGGCATGGTGTTTCAATTTGGGGATTCCTTGATAGGTTGGAAGTCCAAAGAGCAAGGAATCGAGACCACGTCTTCAACAGAGGCTGAATACTGTGCTTTATCGGAGTTGTGTAATGAAATAAAATATTACGTTCAAATCCTCAATGATTTAGATATACAATGTGATTATCCAGTTCAAATATGGGAAGAAAATCAAGCTGCAATAACTTTGTCTGGGTCTGAGCAGTTCAACAGTAAATCAAAACATTTGGAGATTAAAGATCAGAATGTAAGTGAAAATGTTAAACAAAATCTGATAATGCTGAAATACTGTGAGAGCATGTAAAATGTGGCTGATATATTTACGAAAGCACTAACTTTTGAGAAACATGCACAGCTAGTGACAAAATTAGGAACTGTTGTGCATGATGTGTAAATATGTTTTGTATATGTTTAAAGTACTGTTTTGTTTCTGTTTCTGTTTGAATGAGAGGGGATGTTAGGAGTCATACAGAAAAATGATTGTAACTTTAAGAACTGTTTCTGTGAGTGGTTTTCTAGGCTGATTAGGTACAGCTGGTGATGAGTATCAAAAGAGGAGAAATTGCAGTTTGAATTTGCCTGCAGAGAGATAACCCCAACATGCTTTGTGTTTGTTGTTTTGTATAGCTGTAATAAAACCTTTGTTTGAGTTTTTACACCGGTCTCATGGTTCTGTCGTCCGCCACCAGAAGAAACCCCCCCTCTAACGGTGGGTTCTCTTATGTCAGAGAAGGTCTGACTTGTAGCTGGAGCTCTTCCCACAGACAGAGCACTTCTACGGCTTCCCCTCCGTGTGGACCCTCTGGTGCAAGACGAGCTGGGAGTTGCAGCGGAAGCTCTTCCCGTATGAGGGACACTGTTAGGGCTTCTCCTTGGAGTGCTTCTTGCCGTGCGCGACGAGGCGCGAGTTGCACATGTAGCTTTTCCCGCAGGCTGAGCACTTGTAGGGCTTCTCCCCCGTGTGGATTCTCTCGTGGATGGTGAGGGCGGACTTCTGCCGGAAGCCTTTCCCGCAGGCTGAGCACTTGTAGGGCTTCTCGCCTGTGTGGGTCATCACGTGCATGACCAGGCTCCAATTGCGGCTGAAGCTCTTCCCGCATGTGGCACAGCTATAGGGCTTCTCCCCAGTGTGCTTCCTCTCGTGGATGATCAGGTGCGACGGGCCGTCAAAGTTCTTCCCGCAGTAAGAGCACTGGTGCAGTTTCGTGGCCTCTTGGGTCCACGGGTGCTGCAGAAGGTGGACGGTGCAAGAGATGGACTTGCTCAGCCTGTTCTTGGGGCGGTTCCTCTGCTGCTTTCTTGGTCTCGGCTGATGCTCGAAAGTCTCTTCCCGCTCCTCGCCCCAGGAAGGTGTCTTCTCCGCTGTTCTCCTTTGGAAGCAGCTCTGCAAAGTCACCACTTCCATGGCTCTCTCGAGTGGGGGGTTTCCCTCTTGCCGTTCATCTACCTGCCAGCAATCTGTTAAGAAGTGGGGGGGGGGGGGGAGAGGAACCGTAGAATGAGCAAGTTGCCAAAACTGCAAAATTATGATGGATGTCAAAATAGGCTTAATGCTTAATGGCTCCGTAATGTCAAACCAGGCTTCGAACGAGTGAAAAATCCAGTAGTACAGATGTTAAAAATATAAACATCTATAATCAAAATACGCAATAGAACAAATTAAAGCAGAAGTAATCCTTACCGACCTCTGCCCAAAATTTACATACGCTTCAGGTTACAGACGCTTCAGGTTACAGACGCCACTAACCCAGAAATAGTACCTCAGGTTAAGAACTTTGCTTCAGGATGAGAACAGAAATCATCCTGCGGTGGCGGGGCCACAGCAGGAGGCCCCATTAGCTAAAGTGGTGCTTCAGGTTAAGAACAGTTTCAGGTTAAGAACAGACCTCCGGAACGAATTAAGTACGTAACCAGAGGTACCACTGTATTATGTATTTTGTGTTTTGATCTTCAGAGGAAGGGCGCTAAACAAATTTTATAAAATAAATAAATATTGCATGTGAAAATGCCAGAGTTTTAGCTATGCACATCCAAAAGCCGGTTTACTTGCGTCTAACTGATGCGCGACTACGCATGCGTACATGATGGTGACCTAGAAATGGTCGGGAAAAGAGGCGAGGCAGGGGCATAATGGGGAAGAGTGAGTTTATGCACACTCCGCCATCGCAGACAGTGACCCAGAATGCCAGCCCCGTGCAAATCAGGAAAGGCCTGCCTTGTACGGGCTGGGAGGGGGAAAAGCATTTTCTTGTGTCCAACCTGAATCACGTTGGCGCACAACAAATCAATCCGACAGATGTACAGAGAGCAGAGCTAAAGAGCCAAATCTAGAATACAATTTAATGGGAAAACTCACAACAGATTGGGATAGGGAAAATGTGTTTTTACCCAAAGGGGCCTTGTTTTCATAATTCTGCAGGACTTCCCTGGGCTCAAGTCTTCGGCCTGGATCCAGCAAGGAATGTTCTCCTTTGGGAGTGCACACTGCCCCCTCTTCAATGGCCCCCAGTCCCTGAAAGAGAGTAACACTTTCCACTCAACACCTGCATTCTGCACCAGCTGGAGTTTCTGGACAAGTCCCGAGGGCAGCCCCACACAGAAAGCATCCTCCAGAAAAATAATCTCTCAAATGACTTGTTGATGGCATTTTACCATTGTACTGTGGAGAGTGTATTAACTTATGGTCTGTGTGTGTGTGTGGTTTGGGAGCTGCGCGGCAAGGGAAAAAACAATGCTGTCCAGGGTTGTAAAGACTGCGGAGAGAAAAATTGAGTGCACTCTTCCCCCCTTGGATCAAATCTATGCTTCCAGTTGTCATAAGAAAGCTGCAGAGATAGCGCAGGATAGTGCGAACGCTGGAAATGATCTCTTTCAGCTTCTGCCTTCTGGAAGAAGGTACAGGGTTATAAAGACTAGGACTAGCCACCTGAGAAACAGTTTCTATCCAATGCAATTTTGGTATTAAACACAGTGTAAGATAGTCTCTATGGGAGTATATTGTATTTAATTATGGGGTATCAGAGTTTTTAGGGGGCTAACCAGGCTGGGATAGCAGGCTTGTTGGTTTTTGAATGTCTGATGTAGATTTTTTCAATTTCGTTGTTCTGTATGGGACAATGAAAATAAAGATTATCGTGTTAGTAATCAAGCCTCAAGGATACCAATGCATGAACAAATGCGACCAGGCTTGTGAAATGCGGCCCAGTATTTTTATGGATTATCAGTTGTTTTTATAGGCAGTTTGTACTTTATCTCATGTACTGCAGACCATTTTACCGCTCCTGGTAGTTTCTTAAAAAGTTAAATAAAGATACAAATTTGAATACTGGTTTGCAAGCTAATGGCCACATTTTTAACCCCTTTGTCGACTCTGGCCAAATGCTTCTCTCACCTGCCCTCCCGCTTTCTCCGCCTCCTGGTGCCTCAGGAGGAATTCCTCAGCCAGGGCCAGGACGCAACCGTCTGAGCTTCCCTGCTTTTCTCCTTCGGTGACACAAGCAGCCGCCTCTGCAATGGTCCTCAGTCCCTGAAAGAGGAGGAGAAAACATTTTTCCTATTCAGCCCCAGCAGAGCAAGAGAGAACATGTTCACTTCTCGGCATGTATAGCTTGCATTATCCCTGGCATTAATCTCCGGGGAGCCACGGCCATTCATTGGGTGATCGAGGAGTCATGTTCTTAAGCAAAATGGCCACTTCTTTAACCCCTTTGTCGACTCTGGACCCCCAAATGCTTCTCTCACCTGCCCTCCCGCTTTCTCCGCCTCCTGGTGCCTCAGGAGGAATTCCTCTGCCAGGGCCAGGGCCTGTACACAGCCCTCTGAGCCTCGCTCCTTCACCCAGCTCCCCATTTCTGAGGGCAGCACAGCCAGGAACTGCTCCAGGATCACCAGGTCCAGGATCTGCTCCTTGGTGTGCTTCTCTGGCCTCAGCCACTGATGGCAAAGCTCCCTCAGGAGCCCGTAGACCTCGCGAGGGCCCTGGGCATCCTGGTAGCAAAGCTGCCTGAAGAGCTGGCGACGAGCCTCAGAGCTGCTGACATCCTCCATCTTGATTTCCTTCGCTTGCCCGATGTTTCCCTGGCTGGCAGCGGCTGGTCTGGAAGCAGCCGGCTGAGCTGTTCCTGGAGGCAGACTGGTCTTGCTGTCTCCTGCTCCAGCCCACTGGCTGGGAATGGCTGCTCCCTCAAAGGAGGACCCAGAAGGCTTCGCCTCGCCCCATGCCCCATTCCCTAGGAGCTGTGGGCTTCCTTCTCCCCCAGAGTGTGGGGCCTGCACAGTCCGGAGGAATTCCTGCCACTGGGCTTCCCATTGCCGGGACGACAGCTCCTCTTCCGACTCCCCTTTGATACGTTGTGGCTCCGTCCAGCTCGGACAAGGCCCCTCTGTTCCATTCTGGAGGGCAGGAGATGAGCCTCCTGCCTCTTCTAGTGCCATCTCTGGTGCCAGCCTTGCCAATTCCACTTGCTCCGTTTTAATTCCTGGCTTCGCACCGGCCTCTGCTGCCCACTGGAGCTGGAGACCCAGAGAGGCTGCTGGGATTTCTGCTCCCTGCTCTGCAGCCATTTTCACTCAGAGGGAGATGTCCCTCAGTCGTCTTCTGTGTAAGGGACAAAATGTTTCCCCTGTTAATTTGTGGGTCAGCACAAGAATGAGGTTCCTGGGAACATGTGACGGAGTGTTGCCTCTCAGTTTCTGTTGAAGTCTCTGGCCAAAGAAGGGTCACATGGAAGCTGAAATCTTTCCCCAACCTCTGGCAAAAGCTTCTTTACGCTGAAAGAAATGGGAATCCAAACAGACAAAAGTGAGGAAACTGATGGAACAGGGTGCTCTGGAGGCCCCATTTTCACTAAACATTTAAAGTGGGATGAAACCGCTTTAAAAAGACACCATTTCCCCAAATTATACTGGGAGTTGTAGTTTGTCAAGGGTGTTGCTAGGAAGCCCCTATTCACACAGCTACAATTTCCAGTGTGGCTTAAGAAGCAATCCTTCATCCCAGGGAACTCTGGGAGTTCTGCAGGGGGGAAAGGAAGATTCCAGGCACTGACTGACATCAGTTCTCCAAGGTTCCAGGCAAAGGTGTCTCCCCCGAAACCAAGGATTGAAGTGTGACATTCTGCGTGCAGGTGCTCTACCACTGATCTGTAGTCCCTTTCCTTTGAGATTAAGTAAGATTCTCGTCCTCATGGTTCTGTGAAGAGCTATTTAAATGATTAGGAAGTGTCATTATCTCAAATTGGTCTCTCTGCTGCGGGATCATTGGCTCTCCACGGCTTTCAGGCAAGGAACAGTCACAGCCTTACCTGGAGGCTCTGCCACCAAGCCAAATCCCTTCCCTTAATCAACCATTAAGATTTCTTTTGCATATGAGCAACCGGGGGGATGAGAATGCTGGTGTACCCACAGGTAAGGGGGCGCTTGGGACTGTCACACCAACAGGCAAACAGCTCTCCAGGATTTCAGACAGGGCCTGCTTTTACCTGGAGATGCCCAGGATTGAACGCAAGAAGTTCCACATGCACTCCTTCCCTGAGCGGTGATCCCTCCCCTCATAATAATAATAAACTTTATTTATACCCCGCCCTCCCCAGCCAAGACCAGGCTCAGGGCGGCTAACAACCAATAATAAAACAAGTTGATTGAAATACAACTTAAAAACAAGATTAAAATACAACATTAAAACATTAAGATGCAGCCTCATCACAGGAGGAGAAAGGAAAAAGAAAGAGAGGGAGGGAATCAAACTGATTCTAAGCCAAAGGCCAGGCGGAACAACTCTGTCTTACAGGTCCTGAGGAAAGAAATCAGATCCCGCAGGGCCCTGGTCTCATGAGAAAGAGCGTTCCACCAGGCTGGAGCCAGTGTTGAAAAGGCCCTGCCTCTGGTTGAGGCTAATCTGACTTCCTTAGGGTCTGGGACCTCTAGGGTGTTGCTATATATGGACCCTCAAAGAAAGACCCCGGTCCTCATGAACGAATAGCACTTTAAACTGGAGACAAGGAAGCTGCCTCTCCCCGAATCAGACCAATGCTAGAAAATGAAGGGGATTTGCGGGGTTCACGGGCAGCGGCTCCCCTCCCTTCTTCCGCACCCCATCTCAACACGCAGGCTCCCCATCCAATGTGAAACCACAACGGACCCTGCTTAGCTTTGCAAATGTATTTTGAGGTTTTATTGCTCCCTGCAGCAGAAGTCTGTCTGTTTCTCCCTCTTGCACTGGGTCCTTCCACTTCCCAGCCGTCTTCCCCCACCCTCCTGCTCAGCCTGGCCATGGCCTCCCAAGGAAGACCATGCCTGTCACCCCACCTCGCACCTTTCTAACTCACAGGAATGGGTCTCCTATTCTTTCCCCACCACTGGGGAACACAAAAGAGGATGGACAGGAAGGTGCGCTGCCCGGGGGATGTCCCCCATGGGGTGCTCACTTCCTCCTTCCTCTCTAGGAATGCATGCTCTGTGGCTTTAACCGTTAAAGGGCCAAACTAGGGCAGGAGTAACTCTTTCCTCGCTTTCCCCCAGTTCAGTGCCATGCCCTCCAACATTTCTCCAATGAAAATGTTGTTGTTGTTGTTGTTGTTGTTTAGTCGTTTAGTTGTGTCCGACTCTTCGTGACCCCATGGACCAGAGCACACCAGGCACTCCTGTCTTCCACTGCCTCCCGCTGTTTGGTCAAACTCATGCTGGTAGCTTCGAGAACACTGTCCCACCATCTCGTCCTCTGTCGTCCCCTTCTCCTTGTGCCCTCCATCTTTCCCAACATCAGGGTCTTTTCCAGGGAGTCTTCTCTCTCATGAGGTGGCCAAAGTCTTGGAGCCTCAGCTTCACGATCTGTCCTTCCAGTGAGCACTTAGAGCTGATTTCCTTAAGAATGGATAGGTTTGATCTTCTTGCAGTCCATGGGACTCTCAAGAGTCTCCTCCAGCACCAGAATTCAAAAGCATCAATTCTTCGGAGATCAGCCTTCTTGATGGTCCAGCTCTCACTTCCATACATCACTACTGGGAAAACCATGGCTTTAACTATACGGACCTTTGTTGACAAGGAGACGTCTCTGCTTTTTAAGCTGATGAAAATAGGGATGTCCTAAGGAAGAGAGATCAAATCAGGCACCAGGCTGGCTTCTGTAAATCTGGGACTGTCCCTGGAAAATAGGGACACTTGGAGGGTCTGCAAGACAAGCAGGATATCCCCACCCCCAGAGCACCCTTGGGTGGTGCAGTGGTTAGTGTGCAGTACTTAGGCCCTGGGGGAACCGGGTTGAAATCCCCACTCACTCACAATGAAGCTCCCTGGGTGACCTTGGGGGGAATAAAGCCGCTGTAGCACTCTCTGCCTCACCTACCTCGCAGGGTCGTGAGCCCCACATGGGGCAAACCCCAAAGAAGGAACCCCACATGGGACAAACCCCCGAGGGCCATCTAGACCAACCCCCTGCAATGCAGGAATCTCAACTACAGCATCAACTACAAATGAGCTGTTATAGCTCAGTTGGTAGAGTACGGTTGTGGGTTCAAGCCCCAGCTTGGGCGAAAGATTTCTGCATCACAGCGGGTTGGACTAGATGATCCCGGGACCCCTTTTCCAACTCTGCAATTCTATGATTCTAGGATTGAACTGGGACCTTCTGCAATACAAAGCAGGTGCTCTCCCACTGCGCCATCTTGCAGGTGGGACAGCCAGGTGTTAGCTCAGTCAGTAGGGCAAGAGAATATCAGGTTCGTGGGTTTGAGCCCCAGCTTGGGCAAAAGATTCCTGCAATGCAGCGGGCTGGAACATACTTCCTCGGTGATGGACTCTCCTTCATTAGAGGTTTTTAAGCAAAGGCTCATAGAAGTATAGAATGGGAGAGTCGGAAGGGACCCCAAGGGTCATCTAGTCCAACCCCTGCAACACAGGGATATTTCGCCCAAGCTGCTGCTCGAACCCACAACCCTGAGATTAAGTCTATTGCCCTACCAAATGAACTATCCCAGCTCATTTGTCATGGATGCTTTAGTTGAGATTCCTGCATTGCGGGGGGTTGGTCTAGATGACCCTCGGGGTCCCTTCCGAATCCACGATCTCCTTTGTACGCACGGAAGGCCACAGCTTCAATCCCTCCAAGCAGGACTGCAAAAAAGTCTCCCATCCCTGAAACCATCACGAGCCGCTGCCAGCCCGTGTCGGCAATCCCGAGCTAGATGGAGCAAAGCTTTGATACGCAGCTTCCAACGTCTCTCCTTCCCTAGGAGGGTATGCCGCCTCTTTGTCTGAACGTGGAGCTGCCTCCTGAAAGGGTTAAATAAAACGAGCCCGGAGTCCTAGAGTGGCCCCGAGAAATCCATTTCCGGTTGCAAACGCCCCTCTCACCCCCCACTCTCTACCCTACCCCCCCCCTTTCCTGGAAGCTGGAGCCCCGTCTGAACGTCGGAAGGCGGCTGCAGTTTCTGCATCTTCCGTGTCTGGGGAGGGATCTGGTGAGTCTGGCTCCGGGTGCAAAAAAAAAAAAAGGAGAGGCTGCAACGCCCAAAAAAGCTTCAGGCTTTGTAGAAAAGGAGGGGGGGGGAACATGCAGCCTGGGGAGTATTATTTATTATTTTTAATTTATTAAATTACTATACCGCCCTTCATCCAAAGATCATAGGGTGGTTCACAACATAAACTAGTAAAGGACGCCCAGCCACCTTCCGTCTGTGCAGCAGAACCTGATGTTGCTCCTCCTTTCACTGCACACAAGGTCCTTTCTCCTCCTTGTCTCCTATTATTGCTGTTTCATAGAATCTTAGACTTGGAAGGGACACCCAGGGGTCCTATAGTCGGACCCCCTGCAATGCATCAGCTAAAGCATCCATGACAGGTGGCCATCCAAGCTCTGCTTCAAAACCTCCAAGTAAGAAGAGGCCACCACCTCCCGAGGGAGACGAACAGCTCTTATTTTATTCAATTTATATACCCCTCTTTATCCAAATATCCCAGGGTGGTGTGCAACTTTAAGCATATAATTTACACAGAATAATAATAATAGTAATAGTAATAGTAATAATAACAACAGCAACAAATGGGGCTGGTGATGGGAGTTCTTGGTCAAAGCAGCTGTCAGGTGCCAGGTTGAGAGCTGCCCTAAAGGCAGCCGTGGATGGGTTGGGAGAGATCTGCATGGTGTGCAGAAAAGTGGGTAGAGAAAAGCCCCCCACCCTCCTCTAGAAGAAGGCCCTCCTTCCTGCAGTGCGTCGTTAACCTATGGAACTCGCTGCCACAGGAGGCAGGGCCTGCCGCCAACCCTGATGACCTTTCAGAGGGACAAATTTATGGAGGAGAAGGCTATCAATGGGTACTAGCTCTAAGGCATGGGTAGGCAAACTAAGGCCCAGAGACTGGATCCGGCCCAATCGCCTTCTAAATTTGGCCCATGGACAGTCCAGGAATCAGTGTGTTTTACATGAGTAGAATGTGTCCTTTTATTTAAAATGCATCTCTGGGTTATTTGTGGGGCATAGGAATTCATTCATTCCCCCACCTACAAAAAAATATAGTCCGGCCCCCCACAAGGTCTGAGAGACAGTGGGCCGGCCCCCTGCTGAAAAAGTTTGCTGACCCCTGCTCTAAGGGCTGTGATTCCCCTCCATGGTCCAAGGCAGTACAGTGGTACCTCAGGTTACATACGCTTCAGGTTACATACGCTTCAGGATACAGACTCCGCTAACCCAGAAATAGTGCTTCAGGTTAAGAACTTTGCTTCAGGATGAGAACAGAAATTGTGCTCCGGTGGCGCAGCAGCAACAGGAGGCCCCATTAGCTAAAGTGGTGCTTCAGGTTAAGAACAGTTTCAGGTTAAGAACAGACCTCCGGACCAAATTAAGTACTTAACCCGAGGTACCACTGTAATGCTTCTGAATACCAGCTGCTGGAAATCAGGGCAGGGGATATTTTCTGTTGTGCTCGTGGGTTTGCCACAGACATCTGCTTGGCCACTGTGAGAACAGGATGGTGGTCCAGATTACAAGTTTTTAAGAGCATAATCTGGATGCTGCCGTGTTACAGATTCCCGTCATGATCTCTTTATGAATATTTCTGTGGTATATGGAAATGGACCATACGTTTAAAGAAGATTGGAAAATGTTTATTAAATATATGGGGGGAAACTCTGTATGTTTGAAAACGTGGGCAGCATTAAGATCAATTCAACAACGTAAGTTTTGATGGATGTAATAATGGAATACCGAATGGTTTGGTTTATGTAAAATATGCAGGGATTTATGGTGTGCAAAATGAAGCATGGAAAGAGAAGAAGGGAAGTCATTGATATTTTAAGGCTGTTTAAATGAATACTCTAAATTATAAAACTGTGTGTGTGTGTGTGTGTGTATACATACATACTGATATATGGATCTGCGATAATTCCTACAGTCCAAGAATGCCCCGATAAAACAGGGTACATTACAAGGATTTCTTAACTGAGGGAAGGTAGGGAAAGCACATTAGTTTATTTGTTTTTGTTTTTTAAAAGATTACTATATAGCCTTTCAACAAAAATAGTCACAGGACAGTTTTTTTCTTTGTTTATTATTATTATATTAATACTTAATTATTAATATTAATAATTATTATATTAATAATTATAAACGGCCTCGGTCCTGTATACCTGAAGGAGCGTCTCCACCCCCATCTTTCAGCCCGGACACTGAGATCCAGCACCGAGGGCCTTCTGGTGGTTCCCTCATTGCGAGAAGTGAGGTTACAGGGAACCAGACAGAGGGCCTTCTTGGTAGTGGCACCCGCCCTGTGGAATGCCCTCCCATCAGATGTGAAGGAAATAAGCAGCTATCTTATCTTTAAAAGACATCTGAAGGCAGCCCTGTTTAGGGAAGTTTTTAATATTTAACGCTGTATTGTTTTTAACACTTGATTGGGAGCCGCCCAGAGTGGCTGGGGAAACTCAGCCAGATGGGCGGGGTATAAATAATAAATTATTATTCTTATTACTACTACTACTACTACTACTACTACTACTACTACTACTACTTCTGTGTTTTACATTGGAGGAGTCTGAGGTGATGCACATGGTTCTTCTCTCCATTTTATCCTTACAACAACCCTGTGAGGTAGGTTAGGCTGACAGGCAGTGACTGGACCGGGCCATTCAGTGAGCTTCATGGCTGAGTGAGAATTTGAACCCAGGTCCCAGTCCAACAGTCTAACTGCTACTGTGTTGAGTCTATTGTTTTACACAAAACACATACACCCTAATATTAAAAAATACATAATAAATAGAAACATTATACAATAAATAGAAACATTAAAACAATTACCATAGATAGCATAATTAAAAATGGCTTTAAAATGATTTAATTCATCAGCTGCTAAAAGCCCAGCAAAAATGGTAAATTTCCCCTGGTTTCTGAAAGAATGCAAGGTTATGGTGGTCGTTCCACAGAATCCCATTAAAATCCCAGTCCCTTTTTGCAAGATTTAAAAAGCAAAGATGTAAAACTTTTATGATAGGGTTGCCGTATTTCAAAAAGTTACCCTGAATAAACGGACACAAAAGTTGTTGGCTTTTTTTGGCAAGTTGTTTTAATGGAAATCGCCAGAAACGACATTGCTGACATGGATTGTCTGGGAAATTCTGAATGTATGGCAACCATATTTTATGATATCCTCCCAATATTTTAGTTGTTATAGTTATTTTGGGAGGTGCCCCATGGAGGTTGCTGGCTAAAATACCGGTAGATATGGATATTATGCATTAAATCCTATACTATGTTATAGTAAATTTTGTTTTAAAAATATTCTTTTATTGGATTTTATAGACAAGTTGAACACCCTTGACAAGACAATATTCACCTTCTCCTGAAACAGGATAAGCAATAAAATAACAGCACAAAGCAAAAGAAATATAAATAATATTGTGAGCACTTGTTTTCTGCCAGTAAAAAGTAAAAAACCAAAACCAAAAAACAAAGTCAGGTTGGGCCAAAACTAAAAATGCAAAGCATAGCATCTGAGGTAGAAATGAAAAGCAAATTTAACCCAGAAAGTTAGACTAATATGTATAAACCTTATTTTCACAGGGGAACAGGCGTCAGGATCAAAACCCAGTTCAAGCTGTGATTCAAAAGTTTCTTCCTATTGTACCCACCATAACTATTTAAAAGCAGCGGGAGTCATTGCAATAAATATTTAAAATTACTTTTGGTTGTTTATTATATATTAAATTTTAGCATTGCAAGGTGTTCTGTATATCTGAGAAATTAATTTTATTTTAAAGGAGACAGCACAGGAAATGATAGCACATACAAAATGCACCTCACGTTATCCTGAATAGCCAGTTCCGATGCCTCTAGTTTTCCCGCTCATGGAGCTACAATTCCCAGCACTCTTAATAAACTAAAGTTCCCAGGATCCTTTGTGGGGAAACCATGTGGTTTAAATGAATGATGTTGATCTGTTCAAACTGCATGGGAGAACCTAGGTGAGGAGCATAGCTGTCAACGTTTCCCTTTTTTAAAAGGGAAATTCCCTTATTCCAAATAGGATTCCTCGCAAGAAAAGGCAAAAGTTGACAGCTATGGTGAGGAGATTAAGCACATAAGCAGAAAAAAAGAAGACCAGGCCAAAGGGAACCTTTCTAAGCCAGTATCCTGGTTGCCAGCCAGATGCCTGAATGGGACGCCCGAAATCGCAACACACTTCCTATTTATGATTACCAACAATTGGCATTCTTAAGAACGTAAGGTATACCTGGGGCTAAGCGGAGGGAGTCATAGAATTATAGAATTGCAGAGTTGAAAGGACCCTGAGACTCTAGATCAAGGTTTCCCAAACTCGGGTCTCCTGCTGTTTTGGGACTACGCTTCCCATCATCCCTGAGTCCTGGTCCTGCTATGCGGCCTAGGACCCACATACCTATGGGACTGCCTCTCCTGATACGCCCTGCGGAGGACCTTAAGGTCCAGAAATGACAACATTTTCATAGCTGTCAACTTTTCCCTTTTCTTGCGAGGAATCCTATTCGGAATAAGGGAATTTCCCTTTAAAAAAAGGGAAATGTTGACAGCTAAGCATTTTGGAGGTCCCAAGTCACAAGGTGGTTAGGTTGGTCTCAACTAGGGCCAGGGCCTTTTCAGTACTGGCCCCAACTTGGTGGAACGCTCTGTCACAAGAGACTAGGGCCCTACGGGACTTGACATCTTTCCACAGGGCCTGCAAGACAGAGCTGTTCCGCCTGGCCTTCGGTTTGGGCTTGGTCTGACCCTTACGTTTCCCTCCCCTTATGGTTTTGACTTTTAAAATGAGGCTGCATTTTAAATTGCATTTTAACCTGTGTTTTAAATTGGTTTTTTCTTTTTCTTTTTTCTTACTATGTTTTTACTGACATTTTATTGGTGTTAGCCGCCCTGAGCCCGGCTCTGGCTGGGGAGGGCGAGGTATAAATACAATTATTTATTATTATTATTAGTCCAAAAGCAGCTGGAGACCCAAGTTTGGGGAAACCCTGGTCTAGATCAAATGCAACATTCATAGCGGTTTCCAAAAAGCAATTTTCCCTCACAAGAAACGGGAACTCAAAATACAGTGGTACCTCGCAAGACGAATGCCTCGCAAGACGAAAAACTCGCAAGACGAAAGAGTTTTTCGTTTTTCGAGTTGCTTCGCAAGACGAATTTCCCTATGGGCTTGCTTCGCAAGACGAAAAAGTTGCAAGTTTGTTTCCTTTTTCTTAAAACCGTTAATACCCAGGGTGCATTGCTTGAAGAGGTGCAGTTGCGACTTGACTTCGAGGAGCAACTCATAGCACGCGGTGTTGTAGCCTTTTTTGAGGTTTTTGAAGACTTTGGTGATTTTTGAAGCCATGCTTCACAAGACGAAAAATTCGCAAGACGAAAAAACTCGCAGAACGAATTAATTTCGTCTTGCGAGGCACCACTGTAAAAGCAGTGTGTGAAAAGAATCCTGCCATCTTCGTTTTTAGAACCTGCTGGATCAAGCCAATCTCGGCTCCTAATCCAGATTAGTCCAGCAGCCAGTTGAACCAACCAAGGGAGAAAGGTTGTTTTCTGCTGCTCCAGAGAAGCGGACATGGAGCAATGGATCCAAACTACAAGAAAGAAGATTCCACCTAAACATTAGGAAGAACTTCCTGACAGTAGGAGCTGTTCGACAGTGGAATTTGCTGCCAAGGAGTGTGGTGGAGTCTCCTTCTTTGGAGGTCTTTAAGCAGAGGCTTGACAACCATATGTCAGGAGTGCTCTGATGGTGTTTCCTGCTTGGCAGGGGGTTGGACTCGATGGCCCTTGTGGTCTCTTCCAACTGTATGATTCTATGATTCTAGGTCCCTATGGGAAGTTCAGAAGCAGAACATTTATTAAGACTTCTTTTCTCGAAAGTGGGATGGATGGGGGAGGAGCTGGTGATGATGGCGCCCCACCTCCCATAATTGCTTGATTATCAGCCATGCTGGCTGGGAATTCGGTTTGGCCAATGGGAGTCCCAACGGTATTTGCAGGGTTGCAAATTCCCCGTCTCTGCATTAAAAGCACGGTTCTCTCACCTTTCTGTACTCATTGTGCCATGCGGGGTGGCCCACAGCTTTTAAAGACTACAATTTCACACAGCAGTTTCACAATTGGGGGGCTGGAGTAATTCATCTACAGTCGTACCTTGGGTTACAGACACTTCAGGTTGCATTTTTTCGGGTTACGGACTGCCGAAACCCAGAAGTACCGGAATGGGTTACTTCTGAGTTTTGGCGGTCACGCATGCGCAGAAGCACTAAATCACACTTTGCGCATGTGCAGAAGTGCCAAATTGCAACCCGTGCGTGCCCAGATGTGCCACTGCAGGTTGTGAACGTGCATCCTGCACGGATCACATTCGCAACCCGAGCGTCCACTGTATGTGGAAATATTTTTTTGTGAGGGGGGGCGGCTACTTAAGAGTAGAAAAATTGTGAATAAAGGGGCCTGACGACAGAGATGTGTCAAGTTATCCATGATGATGGAGAAAGCAGATAGAAAGCTTTTCTGCCCCTTAACATCGAATGATGGAACCAGGGGTAGGTCAGCGAAGCTGGAGAAAGTGGATTGGGGGGGGGAGAGTTTGTCTCTCTCTCATAACGCTGGAACTTGGGGACATTCAGAGCTTTTCTCTTTTTTTCCAGGAGGAATTCACCGGAACTCAGTTCTGGCAACCTCCCGGGTGGGTGCCATTCTAAAAGAAAAAGGGAGGTGTTTATGGTGGGTTCTGAGACCTCTTTTCCCAGAAAAATAGCGCTGGGAGTGTGGCGATCACACAGGGTCCCCGGACGTTTCACCGTCTATTGATCCCTGTGCCACCACTTGATTTCTCGCTGCCACCACCCAGGCCCTACCTGGGACAATACTGAGTCCAGTCAGGTTTAAATTGGAACATAAACTTCTGTTTATTTATTGCAGTTTAACAAGCGTGTGGTTTCATAAACGGTATCGATCAATTACAATCATAGGGTGCCTGTACAGACCTATAACTTCCACTACCTGCTCTCACTCACTAAACCACCTCTCAGATATTTACTTGTCTGCCTAGCTCCTAACTGTTCCTGACTCAGCTTATTTTGCTACACTAACTCAACCTACCCACAGACTCTATCCCAATTCACTCCCACTCCAACCAACCACCCAACTCCCAACAAACTCCTCTTTCCCCCCTCCCAGAGCTGGTTTTATAGTCCCTCTGACTCCACCCCCCGGGTTCTGATTGGGTAACTTGTTTAACTAATTCACCTCCAGCACTCTCATATGTTAACATCACAGGGACATCCAACTGAATGTTGGACGATTCAGGACTGACAAAGGACTTCTTCACGCAGCAGATAGCTAAACTGTGGGATTCACTCCCCCAAGAGGCAGCGATTGAAATTGAAATTGAAATGCTTTATCGTCACTTGTACAACTTGTATACAGTGAGATTACACAAGCACCCCCCCACTCAGCTCTCTTAGTCTTAATTCCCCTCGTTTACTGACGCACACCCACCAAACCCGAAAGTCCGTTGCCCTGTTGTTCTCTTTTCATTCAGCAGCCTAACAGGCCACGGATAGAAGCTGTTCTTTATCCTGTTGGTGTGACTAATCATGCTTCTATATCTTCTGCCTGAGGGCAGGAGATTAAGAAAGTGCCAGCCAGGGTGTGAATCATCCCTGAGAATTTTCCTCACTCTCCTGAGGCAACGTTCTTCCGCTGTTTCATCCAGTGGATTCACTGGACAGCCCATAATATCTTGTGCTGTATTCACCACCCTCTGTAGGCACTTCCTAAAAGTTGATGTCAAACCAGCGTACCACACTCTGATGCAGTATGAAAGGACACTTTCTGTTGTTGACTGGTAGAAGGAGATCATCAAATTTTGATTGACATCGTTCTTTTGCAATATTCTGAGGAGATGGAGTCTCTGTTGGGCTTTCTTAATCACCTGAGTTGTATTTATTTTCCAAGTAAGTTCTTCATTGAGATAAACTCCTAGGAATTTAAAGGAAGAGACTCTCTCCACACAGCCCTCCCCGATGTACAGTGGGGCTAGTTCTCCTCTCTTCCTCCGAAAGATGGCCACCAACCTAAAGATGGCTTTAGAAGACGATTAGGCAGATTCATGGAGGATAAGACTATCTGGTGGCTACTAAATCTTGATGGCTATGTTCTGCCTCCACAACCTGTTTCTCGAAAGTGCAGGAAAAGAGAGGGCTGTTGCGTTCAGCTCCTGCTTGCAGTCTTCCCTCTTGAGCACCTGGTTGGCTGCTTTAGAACAGGACGCTGGCCTGATCCACTGGCCTGATCCAGCAGGCTCTCATCTCTTGGGATCTTTCACTCTTTTCGGCTATTTGCATTAATCTCTGGGGATTTTTTTACTTGCTGCTCAGGCCCGACCTCAGTTCTGCTCCGGGAAAGCTGCAGCAAGTGCCGGCATCCATGCCACCAGGCGAAACTGCTGCCAGAAGCTTGCCAGGGCCACCATGGGTTGACCTTTCCAGCTCTTATGTCTTCATTTCTCCTATCCAGGTAGCTCCCTCTCAGCCTGTAATGCCAGGTGCCTTCTCTACAGAGGGCCACCAGCCTGTTGGCTCTGTTTAAAGGAGTCTTGGTTGCTTAAACCAGCCAGTCCTGCGCTAAGACTCTTGGGAGATCATCCTTGGTCCCTCTTCAACTGTACCATTTTCCTTTTAAAAAATAAATACAGTGGTACCTCTGGATGCGAACGGGATCTGTTCCAGAGCCCCATTCGCATCCTGAAGTGAATGCAACCTGTGTCCGCGCATCTGCGGGTCGCGATTTGCCGCTTCCACGCATGCACGTGATGTCATTTTGAGCGTCTGCACATGCATGAGCGGCAAAACCCGGAAGTAATGCGCTCTGCTACTTCTGGGTTGCCGCAGAGCACAACCAAAAAATACTCATCCCGAAGCTACTTCAACCCAAGGTATGACTGTAAATAAATTGATTTGGTTTTTCAAATTAAAGTTTTACAATCACATATCCAACATACATCATAACAACAAGATTCCAAAGAATCTCCTGGATTTCCCTCCTCCCCTTTATGGGTCCTGTCGTTAATTCATTTCCTCCTGCATCTTTTATAATAATCCAAATCTCCATTACAGTGGTACCTTGGTTTTCAAACATCTTGGAAGTCGAATGTTTCGGTTTTTGAACACCAAAAACCCAGAAGTGACTGCTTTGGTTTCCGAATGCTTTTCGGAAGTTGAACGTGCCACGCGGTTTCCGTATTGAGTTTTCTGCAAGTAAATGCTTCCGGAAGTAAACACTTTGGTTTTCGAATGTTTCAGAAGTCGGAACAGTCTTCTGGAACAGATTACGTTCGAAAACGAAGGTACAACTCTATATCCAAAATTCACCATTAAACTACAAATTTTATTCCAATCCTACTAACGATTTTAACTGTTTACAATGATTTTTAATATAAATTATAATTTCCCCCCATTCCTTATTAAAATTTTGGTCTTCCTGTTTCTTTCAGTCATTTTTGCCATTTTGGCCTAATCCATCAACTTAAATCTGCCATTCTCTTCTGGTCAGGACTTTGTCTTCTTTCCATCTCTTTCTGGTATGTCAAATTCAAGCCAGGGGCAAGCAACAGACACCAGGTGGATGTTTTGAAGGCCAAAGTGACCTTACCCAACTGTTGCAAGCTTTAAAAAAAGAATCTTGCTTTTTTAAGATTTGACTTTTGTGGGGCAGAAAGAGGCAGAAATATCAGAATCTCCAATTATTATTAAAAATATATATCTTTGTTAATTTTTACATGAAATTTCCAAAAAACATACTACATATTTTCTTATCTGATTCAATGTTTTAGACTTCCATCAACCACATCTGAAGATTTTTCAGTCTTTATCGCTTAATCTGCATTTCATTACTTTCACTATTACTTTTAATAGTCCTTCACTAATACTTCTCTTCATACTTTTCTCTGCAATATTTCACATAGTCCTCCTTACAAAACTTCTTGCAATCCTACTAGCGTAATCTGTTGATTACAATTGCTTTTCAAATAGTTCACATATTTACTCCAGTCCTCTGAGACTCTCTCATCCTGCAGGTTTTGAATCCTTCCTGTCATCTTGTCTAATTCTGCATAGTCCATTAATTTCATCTGCCATTCCTCTTTCGTCGGTAATTCTTCTTGTTTCCATTTCTGTGCCAATAGTACTCTTGCTGCCGTTATTTCATATAAAAATAGTATTATTATTATTATTATTATTATTATTATTACAAGATTTCTGACTTCATCTCCTGGCTGGCATAAAGAGGAAGAACTGTTTGTCTGGGAGTGTGACGAAGAGGAGAGTCTGTCAGGTAGCTCCTTAGATGTGTGGGGAGACAGTCTGTTGTTTGGGAACTATAGGGCTCCCTGTAGAATTTCCTTCATCCAGAACAAGGTGACTTGTGAAAGGAGCAAAGCACAAAGACACCTGTGTGTGAGAATGGTGGAGTTTTGGTTCTCCAGAAAACCAAGGACCAGCCCCAAAGGTTTACACTAACTTGTGGCTCACTTAGTAAGAACGTGTTTTGTAGATGTACGCTGTTGTAAATCGTGGTGTATATGGGAACATTGGTTTTCATAACGTAGAAAGAAAGAAGGAACAAAGTGACATTTGGGGCTTTGAATTCTTTTCCCAAACTGCAAGCTCGGAGATGAAAGCGAAAACCCCTGATGGCCTTGCTTATATATCATGTTCAACAATGGTTTAATGTTTAATGTTAAACAATGGTTTAACATTAATGTGAGCACTGCTGGGTGCAAGTTGATGAAATTTGCAGGTGCTTTGCTTTTCCGTTGCTGTTAGTTTGCTGCCAGGAGCTATATCCTTATGCCTTAGCGTTATATCCGAACCCTGGTTTTATGTCTTGTTTGCCTCCAAACAAATCACGAGTTTTCCCCGACTCCTTTTCCTGTGGATCTTCCTATCTTGCTGTATCTAGGACTGAAGTTTTACGATTCTCATTCTTTCTTTTTTCTCTACCTGCTCCTGCAAAGATGACAGGAACATGGCAGAGATCACGGCACAGCATATCCAAGAGGAAAGCCCCGGGTTCGAAGAAATGTTCATGGCTTCCACCGGACGATCCCACGCAAGCCTGGCCCTCCAGAATGCGGTCGATGAATGTGAGTTCCATTCAAAATTGGATAGAGCTCCATTCTAAATTTGTTTCTTTGTTTTAAAGCGCATCTAAACTGCTCTGTGTTTTAAAGATCCCTAAATGGCATTCAAAAATATGAAAAAAACCAATAAAACGGTATCCTAAAAAACAGAATACGAGTTTCGCACGCCATAATACACTAATAATAATATCTTGTTTTAAATGTTTTAGTTGTTTCTGAGTTGTTGTTTTTTCAAAATAATTTTTATTAGTTTTTAATTACAATAATCCAATAATAGCCTCATTATAACAATGCCAAATTATAATACAGTTACTAATACCAATCATTCAGATGCCAAATTATAAAATTTAGTCACCCCCCCCCGCATGCTAGAATTGATGGTTTGATGATTTACTTTATTTCTGCGTTCCAAAATCTTATTAATTTCAACTACACTCCTGTCAAAATAACAATCCCTTATAAAATAACTGCAATATTAACGACTTCCGTTCGTATTGACACATTGTTCTTCCTGTTCTTCCTGTGTGTGGCAATTATTTTGCCCGTGATGTTTCTTCCTCTCCTTGTAAAATGTTTAGTCTATCTTTTCCCGGTTGTTGCTGTTCTCCATCCTGCCTTGGGCGGAGCTAACATCCCACTGTTGTTTCAGAAGTTATCCATTGCTCCGCCCCTTGCTTCGTTGTTTTGCAACTTTAACAGCACCTGCAAAAATCACAATGTCCCAATAAATATCCTGTTTTCGCCATTTTTCCTCTCAGCCTGGGAAGGAGAGTGATCTGTGGAACTTCAAATAACTCAGTAATCACTTTCTAAACAAGCATCACAAAGTGATTTACACAGTTAAAAACTCATTACTCTTTCTGAGTTTTTAATTGTGTAAATCACTTTGAGATGGTGGTTTAGAAGGTTATTAATAAATCAATGTTAATAATAACTAAAGTAATAATAATAACTAAAGTAATAATAACTAAAGTAATAAAGTAATAATAAAGTAATAAACGCGGGTGGCACTGTGGGTTAAACCACAGAGCCTAGCACTTGATGATCAGAAGGTCAGCAGTCCGAATCCCCGCAACGGGGTGAGCTCCCATTGCTCGGTCCCTGCTCCTGCCAACCTAGCAGTTTGAAAGCACGTCAAAGTGCAAGTAGATAAATAGGTACTGCTCTGGCGGGAAGATAAATGGCGTTTCCGTGCACTGCTCTGGTTCACCAGAAGCGGCTTAGTCATGCTGGCCACATGACCCGGAAGCTGTACGCCGGCTCCCTCAGCCAATAAAGCGAGATGAGTGCCGCAACCCGAGTCGGCCACGACTGGACCTAATGGTCAGGGTTCCCTTTAATAATAGCAACGGCAGGCCAAATGTCTGAAGAATGCCAAGGTCTGAAGTTGTTCACTAGGTAGGGGTTACTGTTGGTTTACCGGGAGAGGCAAGGTGGTAGAAAGTTTGGGGCAGCTGTTGTGTTCTGTAATTGATTTTTCTTCTTTTCCCTCACATCACATTTCTCTTTTATTTCAGCAGGGCATGTGTGGAAGAGAGAAAATGATGAGGAAGCCCATCAGGCGTTGGAGGAAGGCATTACATTTCCAGCTATGGTCGAGAACCTTGGGAATCAAGATGGGATAAAGATGCAGGCAGGAAACGAGGCAGATCAGGATTGGGGTGAAACTATTGGTTGTCTGAACAGCGGCTTCTTTGAAATCCCAGCCCATCCAGGAAAACATAAAGGAGGAAGAAGGAACGAGTGCCCGGCGTATTCGGAAAGCTTTAACGATGTACCAGGCCTTCAAATGCATTGGAAAACCCAGACAGGAGACAAACCGTATAAATGCCTGGACTGCGGAAAGAGCTTCAAGCGCAACTCAGAGCTTATTCGACATAAAAGAATCCACACCGGAGAGAAACCTTTCAAATGCCTGGAGTGCGGGAAAAGCTTCACTCAGAGCAGAAACCTTACTTCACATCAGAGGAGTCACACAGGAGAGAAGCCTTATAAATGCCTGGAGTGCGGAAAGTGTTTCAGCCAGGCTGGAATTCTTACTTCACATCAGAGAAGCCACACTGGGGAGAAACCATATCAGTGCCTGGAGTGTGGAAAGTGCTTCAGTCAGAGTGGGATCCTTACCGCACACCAGGGAATGCACACAGGACAGAAACCATTCAAGTGTCTGGAGTGTGGGAAAAGCTTTCGCCAGCAGATCCACCTCACCTCCCACGAAAGAACGCACACCGGAGAGAAGCCCTTTAAATGCCAGCAGTGCGGGAAAAGTTTCCGCCAGCAGATCCACCTTACTTCCCACGAAAGAACGCACACTGGAGAGAAACCCTTCAAATGCCGGGAGTGCGGGAAGAGCTTCAGCCAGAGCTCCCACCTTATCCGACATGAAAGAATCCACACCGGAGAGAAGCCGTTTAACTGCCTGCTGTGCGGGAAGAGCTTTGGCCACAGCGCGGAACTCATTCGACATGAAAGGACTCACACAGGGGAAAAGCCCTTCAGGTGCCAGGTTTGCGGGAAGAGCTTCAGCCGGAGCTCGGAACTTATCCGACACGAGAGAACCCACACGGGAGAGAAACCGTTCAAGTGCTTGGAGTGCGGGAAGGAATTCAGTGACAGCACCAACCTCATCAGGCACCAAGTTAGCCACACGGGAGAGAGACCGTATAAGTGTCCGGTGTGCGGGAAAAGCTTCAGCCAGAGCAGGAGCCTGACTTCACATCAGAGAACCCACACCGGGGAGAAGCCGTATCAGTGCCTCGAGTGCGGGAAGTGCTTCAGCCAGAGCGGGATCCTTACTGCGCACCAAGGGATGCACACAGGGCAGAAGCCGTTCAAGTGTCCCGAGTGCGGGAAGAGGTTCCGCCAGCTCATCCACCTCACCTCCCACAAGCGGATCCACACGGGAGAGAAGCCCTTCAAATGCCTGGAGTGCGGCCGGAGCTTCCGCCAGCACATACACCTCACCTGCCACGAGAGGACGCACACCGGCGAGAAGCCCTTCAAGTGCATGGAATGCGGCAAAAGCTTCAGCCACAACTCCATCCTCATCTCTCACGTGAGAACCCACACGGGAGACAAACCCTTTAAATGCCTGGAGTGCGGGAAGAGCTTCACTTGGAGCACGCTCCTTATTAGACACGAGAGAACCCACACGGCGGAGAAGCCGTTCAAATGCCAGCAGTGCGGGAAAAGCTTCCGCGAGAGCTCGCTGCTCAACAAACATCAGAGAAGCCACACCGGGGAGAAGCCGTTCAAATGCTTGGAGTGCGGAAAGAACTTCACTTCGAGCACGCTCCTTATAAGACACCAGCGGGTTCACACAGAGAACCATTTCAGTGCTTGGAGTTTTGAAAGAGCTTCGGCCAGCGCTCAGAACTTCCTAGACATCAAAGAATTCAAGGAGGAGATGATCCACTGCAACGATGAAAACAGTGGAGCGGTTGTCATGCAATAAGCCTTGTTGGGCTCCAGGAATTATTCATGTTGTGGGAAATTTATATATACTGCAGCTTCTGCAAGGGATCAGTTCGCAGCTAATCAGA